CCCATGAGTGACCAAGACAGAATTTCTCTTTACAATATCAAGCAGACAAGTAATGAGCAAAAGAAAAAATATCAAATATGGGATAATAAGTTGATCCAGTATCAAATTCTCAGAAATAACATTAAGGAGAATTAGTAATGAGATCTTGGGAGTGAAATGGCTAGGGGGGGGGAGGGGCAGTAAAGATTAAAATCACACTAAAAATGAAATAAGCTCAGTTTTAAGATAGCCATAAAGTGATCAAAGTCATTAAGTACAAACAAGGTTTCCCTATCATTTATTACAGATGAACCTCTAAATAAATTAAATACCTTTCATTCGGAGCACTTTTTTCCTTGTCAACTGACTCACTGTAGGAATAGCATTAAATTTTTACATTAGATTTAAAACAGAGGTATGTAAATAAGGGGTGTATTTAGTCGACTGAAAGCTGTTTGGACAGTGAAAGTGGTTTTATCAAGGCAAAAACCCAAAAAAAGGATGATGGGCTGATATGGGAGATGATACTTCTAGAGGAATATTTTGAGAGGTGTAATGACATGCAGTTGGGCCTAAAACAGAGGAGCTTATTAGCAAGAAGCTCACAGCTGCAATGAAATTTTGTTTATAAATAGATGAACCTATATTGAAGAGGTTAATTGACAGGGAAAGGGGGAATCTCATAATAAATGAACAAACTAAGCTTGTATATTATTGAGCCTAATTCATGCTGTTTCTAATTCTTTCACTTGTTTATCATCACTGATAAAGAACATGAAGTGCATATTTATTGGTTTATAACTCACACCAAAACAAGATTTTGGAAATATGATGATATATCGGCAACAAGCAAACTGCAGAATGCAGGGCGATATATCTTGATCCTACGGAACCACAATAGCGGTGATTTTCCTCATTGTTTAAACTTTCCCCACAAGGAGGACTTTAATGGCTCTGTATTCTATACTAGCTCCAATGACTACACAGAGGGAATCGCAGTAAAATCAGACTGGTATGAAAGCATCAATGGTAGCACGCTTATTTCTGAGCTTTAAAAATAACCTCGTGTAAAAAAGACGTTTTAAAAACTAGCTCGAGTTAGTTAGTTAGTTAGCTAGTTAGGTTTATCTGATTTTCAGATCAGTCCCCACATTGCCATATTCTTACAAGTTTCTATGTTTTACCTTTTACTTGAATCATTATTATCGCGAGAAGAACTGGCTAGTTTGATTTTCTTTTTCATTACCACTGTTCTCGAATCCCGCTGCAAATACTTTCGTTTATTGTTGCACTCGTACGTCCAATGACCCACTTGCAAACATTTTTGGCATCTTTGATTGCCTGCCTGTTCTTGCCTTAAAATTGAAATGAAATAGCAATTGTTTAACCTGCATATGATACTGAGTTAGTAGCTGAAATTCCCACCTTTTCTTGTTCAGGATGTAGGACCTCGCTGCATACGCCATTTTGTTTTGCCATTTGTTCCCAGTCTCCTGTGTAGATTGTTGGAAATAAATGTCAATCCCAGGCTCTTGAAAGGGAGTACAGAGGTACCTTTCATTAGGTAATTTGAGAACGTTACAGGTATTAATTGGAAAGATTTCCACACAGCCCTATACTCATTATTCATATAGTATTTGCTTGGAGGAAAGAAAGGCGAAAACGATTGTCTTCAGGGCTAAGCTACATTTAACAACATTAAGATGCCATACAGAATATTTCCCATTCATTTTCAATTGGGACCAGTGTTAAGATTTCTTCTGAACAGGTGTGCCAAAAGAGATTCCAAAATATCTGGTTTGGCAAAAAAAAGTTACTCCAACAACTCAACAGGGTCCATTGCACACTTTTCATAATATCATAAACCAACTCTGCATACATCACAACAGCCAATCAGAGATAACTAAAACATTTTCGGGAGCCAATGAGAACTAATCGTGAAAATTAACCTCTCTCCTGAGGTACAGAAAAATGAAATTGATCAAGATGTGCTTGGTGTTAGTTTTGCATCTGATTGGTTAGAAGGGTGCTGCAAGTTTCCTTGACCAATCAAAAAGAAGAGTAGGACAAAACTAAATGCAAACCTTGTCAACTTTAGAAATTCTTCAAATATAACAGACCTCTTGTTTTTACTAAAGAACATATCAAAAGAATCTATTAAGTACCAAAAACGTCACATTTATTTGCTTTCAGCATTCAAGAAATAATCCTCACGCTGTGGACACCAAAATACTTGATACTTTGTTCCTCATTTATTTACAAGCCGTATACTAGAGGAAAAATTAAATTAACCCCTTAACTCCCAGAAGTGCGACCTCTCCCTGAGATATCCACACATCCCCCTACAAACAAGTAATGAGATTACTCAAACCTATTAGGAGGTAGTTATCTTGATCTAACACCAAATTCTTGTAACTAATTTAAGAAGAAATGTGTGGCAGCTAGAGGGTAGAGTTTTCAGTCAGATATTGAGAGTTAAAGGGTTAAAATCCAAATGTACCCTTCACCTTATCATGCCCTGACAATACCAACATCGAAATAATATATTGATACCTAAGTTTTCTTAAAGTAATACCTGAACCATATCAACAGAATTAAAATAAAATTAAAAAAACCTAACTAAAAGTTGCAGGTTGACCAGGGCTTAAAGGTTTAGTTAAGAACTTTCCAGCTCAATTTCAAATGATCTTGTTATCTAAGTATTATATTAATTGAGATTATCAGTGAAGGTATAAAAATGACAAGCTGCATTATTTCTGAATGTTTATACTCTATGACACAACTAAGTTCCTCTAGTTAAAAGCGTTTGGACAAACACTGTAGGGAATTTATGCCTTTGAAAATGACTCATCACAAATCCTCACACAGAGTCCAACTTCACACTGGGTTATCACAAAATTACTCAATATCACAAGAATAATTTACTCAACAAAAAGCATTCCTAAAATAAATTATAACATACATTTCCAACAAAAAAGTACATTTCTACCATCATTTTCTTAATTAAGAAAGAAAGTTAAAAATCTTTCCTACTCTGAGTAGATTTCTTCATGTTGGTAGTTTTCACTTTTAGTTAGTAAAATAATGTTGGTTTTGGCATTCCCCTATTTAAGTATCAACTTGTCCACAACTGTGCCCAGAAACACACAAAAAAAGTCAGTTACTGAGCTGTAGATTTTTCTTATGTTAAATTGGCCTTTGTGATTGAGCCTTGAAACCAATAATTGTTGTCTCTCCCTTGCGAATATATCTATCCCTATCACTCCTTAGATTTAAATAACCAATTACCCACACAGTTTCTTCTACATTTATTTTCATTTTTGCTCCGTGAAACTGGCTTTCAATCAAAGATCATCCTCTAGTTGATAATCTAAGTTCTTCTTCTCACATTCCTGCTTTAAAATGTATCGATACTGCGAGGAGAAATTCTTTAATGGTCACTAGTAAGAGCAAAAGCACTCCAAGTATATCAACGACAATAATAATAATAATAAAAACAATTATGTTGATAATAACAGTTTTCTACAGCTACTAATAGATAAAAATAACTAAACAATGGAAGATTTTTGTGCAATCCAAAGGGAATGACCACTCCTTTTTCTTTTGTTTTGTAAAATGTTTTCTGGAGTTATATACAAACAATACAGAGCCACCCATTTGTTACCATAGCTATCATGACACAAACAATCTGATGTGAAAAAGGAATTTTTTGTTACAACACAGCAACTACCTGGAAACATGAACGAAACAATCTGATGTATTATGAATGAAAAAAAATCTTAATCACTTCTATTACCTACTACCAAAAAGGGATACAAAAAAAAAGCAGAAGATTAAAGTAAAAATTTTGGATTTCATCTAGGAAAAATTGTGTCTGAAACCCAGCTACCTTGAAAATAGAAAAGAAAAGAAAAACACCTCTGTTGATAGCATTTTGATCATTCCTGATTGCAAAGGAGGTGATGCAATGATTTTCATCCCAAACAGTAGTAGCCACAAATACTTCTGATTTTTGCACAGTTAAAGGAAACTTTTCTTTTCATGTAACCATTCTATTGATGGGATGGTGTCACTTAATATACACGCAATATCTACACATACCCCTGACATACACAATCTTCAATACAACAATTCTAATTGATGATAACTGATTTGATAAACCTTTAACTCCCAGAAGTGATGAACATGTAACTTCTCCCTACAATATCCATACATTAACCAGCAAACAGGTAACGAGAATACTAAAACTTATCAGTTAGAAGTTGTTGTCTTGATCTGACACCAAGTTCTTTTAACTAATTTACCAGGAAATGTGTAGGATCTAAAAGAGAGAATTAACAATCAGATCTTGGGAATTAAAGGGTTAGGCTCTTAGATCAAGGTATTTCAACCAAATTTGAAGTTGAACTTGATGAATCTCTTTCCCAGTTCACCTCTGCACTAACACGAAGCACACGGCCAGATTCAGAAACACTGGAGCTTTCTGTAAAACACAGGAAAAAAAACATCTCAGTTATTTCTCTAAGTTAGTGAACTACTGTTCAAGAAGGCCCTAAAATGCAATCTCCTACCATTTTTGAACTCACACAATGGTCACTGACAGTAAAATTTTAAAAAAAATTCAGAAATTCCAACACATGAAAGTCATTCACCAATAATGTTCAAACCATTTGCTCTTCCAGGGGTTTAGTCAGCAAAATATCTGTCTCTATTCCTACCTGAACCATCAGAACTAGGCCTCCTCTCACTAACAGAAGGTTCAATCTCATTCATAACCACACCAGGATTGTCAGCAGCAGTACGATGGTCCTCATCAGGGAGTTCTGATGTACCAACTTCTACAGCTAATGTGCGACTTTCCTCAACACTGGGCTGGGAAATATAAAAAAATGCACTATTGCTCCAGAACACTAGTGAGAGTACCATAAGCCTAAAATTGCATAAGGTTTTGTACTTTTACTGTAAAACTAATAAGAAAAAAGGAATTTAAAGAAAGCAACAAAACTTTAAAGTCTGTAATACATGATTCAACAGAAACCTGTCATCTTCAGTTAATTAATGTACAAAGCATTGGAAGTTGAATTATATAGTACTGGTAGGTAGAAAAATGCTAATTATGATAAATGGTGACTACAAGAAAAGAGGTAAGGCATGAAAGTGTGAGAGTCAAAAGGATCGCTTTAGATTTACATGGTGTAATTGTTGATTCAAGGATCGTTGTTCTCTTTGAATACAAATGGCTTCTTTTATCTTGAGTTGAAAACTGGTAAAGGCATGATCCAAAACATGGAAGTTATCTGCTGAACACAAAGTGCAACAATGTGCAGAATCTTGCAGATGCTTGAGAATGTGAGAGGCCCTGTCACTGATTAAGTGCTCTCTGACATGTGTGGAAAAATGCCGGCACATTTCACCAACATAACAGGCATTACAGCCAGCACATACAAACTTATAAACCACATGTGAATGGAGCCTGTCAGGGACAGGGTCTTTCACACCGAAAAAGAAGAAAGAAATTGAACACTGGAAATAGTTCTGGTGTGCAATTTTGCTAGGAAAAATAAACAACTCTTAATTGTATGCAATAAAGCTGATGGTATAGAGAAGTGTGCAAGGTTTCCTTCACATTCTCTAATTGGGTACTTTCAAGAAGGACTAAAGATGAACATAGAATGTACAAAACAGTTGTAGCTGATAGTAATTATGTATCAGCCTATCAAACAAATAGAAAAGAAACATTAAAATAAATGACTAGTGCTCCTCCTGCATCAAGTGTGAAAGCATTTGCAAATTTTTTCCAACACTTACCAGCCCCAATTCCTTCAAGATGTTGAGCTTGCACATTGGACAAGTTCTGTGCTCAACCAACCATGGGTCGATACACAACTTATGGAACTCATGCCTATAGAGAAAGAGGAGCTGTGAGTGAAAAAAAGTTTAGAACCCAAGGTAGGGTTGTCTAAAGACTTTGAGTAACTTATTATATATAAATATATAACATACACCAATATGCAATGGTTTTAATTAAAACTGATGAAAAGGAGCTTTAGAATAAAACTTAATGTTTACTTCTAATTTTTTCAGAAAGAGTAAAACTCAAACTCACAACAGTCTGAAAATTTGTCTCAATACTTACTCATTCTTATGTCTTTTTTTTTTTTTAAGGGAAGTTTCAGTCTATTTGATTACTTTAAAGTGACTCAATTGAGCCAGCGGCTGACCTAAAAATTTCCAATTAAGCTTTAGCAACACATCCAACAAAGTTTTAGCACAACAAAATACTAGCGATCATTCAAGGGCTTAGGTCTTTACACTGAAGTCTCTATATGCATCCTGTTCAGTAGCAGCCAAGCATACCATTTCTTGAAAGTGTTACTTACTGGCAAGGCAGAATACGAACAACATCGCCAGCTTTGTAACCATCCAAACACACTGCACAGTTATCAGACTCATCATCTTCTGTCTACAATGCAGAAAACAACCATAGATGGCAAATGAAATACTTCACTTGAAGGCAACGAGTTAAACATGCATACTTTGAAGTTACAGTCTTAACATTTTTTCCTTCCAATATCATTCAGTTATTTAAATTTGTACTTATTACAATGACACCTAAATGTAGTTGATTTGTAAAGTTGTTCCTATGTTAAGATCAGAGGTCCTGTAAAGAATTTGTTTTTTCTTATTACTGGCTAAACTATTGGCTAATATACTAAAGGCAAGTACAAATTTGTTATAAAAAAGCCTCCTGTAAGAAACACAATAACAACCCTCTTGATTTCACCTCGGCACCAGACTGCCCATCTAATTGGGAGACAGACTACCTCATGATGATCAATATGACTAATGCAATTTTTTTATGAATAGACCATCAAAACAAGGTCTTCCTTTTATAATATGTGGAAATTCCTTCACACATACCTTTTTGTTGACAGTGCGTGTTGGAAGTTTAGCTATAGCCTTTTTGGCAGCAGAAGTTAACCGTTTCTGTTGGAGGAGGAACAGGGGATTAATCAACTTCCTCAATGAGGGGCAAGTAACCACAAATATGCCAGGTTAATATTCAAGATTTAAGTCTAATCCAGTAAGTAATCATTACAAGTGTTTTAAAAGTTACACAATCACAACATATTTTCATAAGTTGCCAAATATCTTTATGTGGAAACTGCCTCCTATAGGAGGTAAAGCCACATGTGTTGTTGAGATGAGTGAGTTGGTGTAGCAATAGAATTCCATCATAACCCAATTTTGACCTGATGTTCTTTTCCTTGAAGAGAAAGCATTTTATTGCTTAAATCAGTAAATTACGTAGATGCAAAGATATAATATTTTCAGTTCTTGCCATGACACTACAAATGACGATAAACATCTTGAAATAATGTCACAGTGGCATCCACAGATACATAATTTAAATCAAAACTTTTTCTTGCAGAAATATCTAAACAGATGTGATCTACACATCATGGAAGCTTTGTTTGTTGAAAAGAGAGCATTTCAATGCTGAATCAGCGACTTGTGCCGAAAAAAGCCACTAAATTTGTGAAGCAAGCAAGCTGTAAATTACAATATCTTAAGATGCTGAATGACTGAATATCCTAAAATGCAGAATACCTTTTTGAATGGAACAAAAGTCTCACAAATGGAATTACAATAAAATAAGAAAATTATTTAAAATTAACAGGTGAAATAAAAAGAAGATTAGGTAATCATTACTGGAGCAACTTTACCTTTTAGCATCATTAGACAACCTAGAACTCTTTTCAGTACTTTAAAAATTGTGTATTATCAGTAGCCACATGCAGTCTTTGACTGTCTGTTTATATTTATATAATAAGCTCAGTTATACACGCATTCTGATTGGTTCTCACTTATGATCTATAGAAGGACAGATGTATAGATGACATCATCATTAAAACTTTTTTAAATTCTTTATTATATAAAACAAATAGATTCCAAGTTGCTGTGCATCTGTTCAGTAATAGATCACAGAGGACGTCAAAATGTGATAAGAACATCAGTGACACACTCAGCTGCACCTCACGTGCCACTTTTTTGTTCTTACCACATTTTGACATCATCTGTGATCTATTATACAACAGTGACACACTCGGCTGCACCTCATGTGCCACTTTTTTGTTCTTACCACATTTTGACGTCATCTATGATCTATTTCTGAACAGATGCTCGGCAACTTGGAATCTATTTGTTAAATTTGCTATCCTTTATCTTAAATTAAGCATCTCCAGAAGTTCTGAAATATTTTAGCTCTTGAACATAACTGTAGTAATACACAGTAAAACTGTAAATAAACAATGTTTTAGGTGAAAAATCAAAAGGATCGAGCAACTTTTACACCAAGAACGAGTAACCACAAATATGCTACTTAAAAATTCAAGATTTAAGACAATGCAACTATCACTGGCAATGTTCTATAGTTATGTAATCACATTAGGATTATTTCTATGTTTTATGATACTTCCAATTCTTTTTTTTTTCACAACTTGATATAAACTAATTACTTTGCTAAACTTTGTTAAACATTTGAGCATTGTAACAACACTCTAATAATCCACAGCAACAGTGTCAACAAACAAACATTCATGTTGAAAAATCATTAGGATCACTCAAATATGCTGAATTTACACTCATGATTTAAGCCAAAGCAATAATTATCATCAGTCATTCAAATATTACATCATCAATTCATATCATTTATATGTTAATAAATAGTTTTGATTCTTGCCATTTCACCATCTAACATATAAAATAATTAACTTTGCAGAAGTCTTAGATATATTTCAGCTTTGCAAGAAGATTTATTAACAAGTAATGCGCGACAACAATGTAAATAAACAACACTTTCAGTTGAAAAGTAAAAACACACCAAATATTTGTTTGGATGTTACTCATGACCTATGTCAATGCGATGGTAATTATCATTGTTCCAAATATTATGTAACCAGACTAATTCCATTCAGTAAATGATTGATACTTTCCACATTTTTTATTCTCATGTTTTAATGAATTATCAACTTTGCAGAATTCTTAACGTATTTGAGTATTCTTGTAAGACAGCAAGTAGTAGGACACAGAAACAGCTTAACCAAACAGAGTTTCTGTTGAAACTTAAAAAGAATCAAGCAATTTCCACCAAGTGAAACAAACCACAAACTGTTTGCAGCAATTTGATCCTAAAGACTAATATCTGGGTAGAAGTCGTTGTCAATGTTTCACATTTTACGTAGTTTCTCAATATTTTTTATTGACTGATTAATAGTTTTGGTGCTTGCAATTCTAACATCTCGTAATAACTACTTACTTAGTAGAGGTCTTCAGACATAAGTAAACAGTGATATGGTGTAATGATGCCCAGCACTAACTTTAATACGCGACGTTTGTGAATTTATCAAACTGCAAACTCCCGGAGTTTCAGGTAAACAATATAAAAAATACATCTTCTTGGAAGGCAGCAAAATCTTTCTGAGCAGAGGCTTACCTAATATTGATTCTTGCTATTTCATAAGCTTTTCCGGTAAGTACCAACTAAAATGTTAAATATTTCTCGGAAAACGCAATCAATAGAAAGTAAAAACGAAAAAGCTTATCGAAGCGCCTATGAACCACTTAGCTATGTTCCGTGAAGTTTGTGCTATAAAATTCATTCAACTCCATAGTAATTACTGTTAAGTATTATTTCTGTGACGCATGACTCTTCAAAATTCCGCAGGCGTTAATTGCAACGAAGAAAAGAATTAACGGAAAGACGCATCAACGAAAATTTGTTCAAAACTAAGAAACAAAAATGAGGAAGATAACGATTGAAAGCCATAATTCTACCACGTTTGTGGAGTTATCGTCGAGGGCTAAGTTTATTAATCGAGAGAGCGAAACAGTGATATTCAAAACAAGTCATAGCAAATATCACAAACTTTTGAACAAGATTTTCAACTACAGCTATTTCAGCTGACAATAAAATGAATTTCTAGTCATTAGAGTTAAAAACTGCCCGCACTCACCTCGGTTTTGTCGCGTGCATGGACATACCGAAACCTTTGGACATAATAAAACACCAACCACGCAAGCGAAATCACCATCAAAACAATAAAGGAAACGGAGACGAACAGTACAGATGTCGGATTCACTTGCCATCTTTTTTTTGAAATCGTTTCACCCACAGAAATCTCCACATACACAGCTTTGGTTCTGTTGACGAGAGCATCGGCCAGCTCGACTCCAAGATTCCTCTTTATACTGACAGCAACAATCGTATCTGCCCCAACATGTGACATTTGGACAACCTCGTCGCTATCCTTGTTGTCGTAAATAACAACTGCCGTAGCGTTATGATTGCGAGCATTTATGATCTTATCCTTAAAATTACACACTCCCCTTTTAATGAGGGCAATCCATGGCTTTCTGTCCACCGCGACGTTAAATACGTTACAACCATTAACATTATTTCCCATCAAAGTATACAGCCATCCCTTCTCGTTGCGTTTCGGACTGTTACTACCAAATTTTCCCTTTCCATCAAACGGCTTTATCTTACATTTCTCACCGAGTCTGCCACAAAATGTTATATTCAATACAGCTTCTGTGTATTTCTCAGTTTGCTGTTCGTCATCGTAGAAACTGCAGTTGACAAAATTCGCGACACAAACGAACAATAACAGCGCTGAAATGATGTTGATACGGTCTGTGAAGCTGCTCGCGATGGCCATTGTTATTTCAAAGTAGACTAAAAGTTACAGGATCCTTTAAGATAAGCCGTAGAGAAGAGAATGTACCAGGTTTCGCAGGATTTTTAAAGATTTTTCAGTGTAAATAGCAACTCAATTCTTCCGCCATGTTCATTGCTCGTGTAAAACCACAGTAAAAGCAGAAGTAGTCACGTGATCATTGATTGGCACACCTGGTGTCGATATTCCATTCCATTCCTTTCTACGTCATCGTTCCGCTTTGAAGGAAGCATCGCGCCAAGATATTGTTCCAGTCTCGATCAGGAAATCAGAGCTATATCCGAAAGTGAAAATGCACACTCTTGAAAACTTGTGTAAGCAACAGCGGAAGCATTACTTGTTGGTGAGAAGAGGAAAGAATATTCGCCCCCGTTGACGAAATTCTTTTCTCCAAAACCCGATTTGCTGGAAACCCCACGATCAAAATAATTATGTAACATGAGGCATCATAATGATATGACGTTTATTTGTTATAGTGAACAATTTATCACACCTGTGCCCTTCATTTTGCCGCTCACTGATGAACGTCGTGATAAAATTCGCGGAAAGACTCACTATAAAAGATGGCCAAAGAGTCGCTAAAATAAAACTCGCTAAAAAATTGGAATAATGTGACGCATTTCATGCATGTTACTTGTGAGCCGGTTTCGGGCTAAACAGTTTAAATTTCTAGGATGATGATGAGAAAATCTAAAAATATCAAGTTTCAAAATTCTTAGAATAATGAATGCAGAGTAAATTTCTCCTGATATCGTGCGGACATTGGACTTCGTCATCTCCGGGTAACACCCCCCTCCCCGCCCCCACCCAGTGTCGGGTTGTCACAATACTTCTCATTTCCGTGTACTTCTGGAATATCAGGAAAGAGACTTTGACCTTAGATTTAATCGTAAACGTATAGGGGCTTTTTAGACTCTTGTTTTGCATGCTGACAATGCGATGAAGACGCCTTACAACATATATATAAAAGAAAACTCATTATGCCCTCTGTTTAAAAAAGTCGTCAATGATGTTTATCTTAGGAGCGTTCTTTGTGTCCTGCTTATGCTCTGTCCCAGTTCTTTCGTGAGTTCCACGTTCTGTCTCTCCCAATTTTAATATGTGCCTCTCATTCTTGCTCCATGCTCCCTCGCGGCTATAGGCCTTTTTCCTCTGCTTTCAATCAATGTTGGGTTCCACAAGAAAAAGGAACTGACACAATCTAAGACTACCTTGAGAGGCGTGCTACAGGCAACGTTTGCCCTCCGTCAATTGCTCATCATCAAAACAGCTTATTGTAAACACAGGCATGCGTAGCATGTAGAGTTATTTTTTGGGCTGGGCGAGTTAAGATGGAATACTTTGAGTAACTTTCAAACGGACGAAAATATCGCATTACTTCACCTTAAGAGAAAGAAAAAAACAAATTTATCTGAATTCACACAGACATTTTGTGGTCTATTGTCTGAAAACTTCTAAGGAAAAATAAAATGTATCAGTGCCTCACGTACTTTTGTTTCCCTCACAGCTATTGTTTGGTCTCGTTACACAACGCCGTATATTCCCCGGAGCGAGAGCACGTTGCATGATGAAACCAAATAACGGTTGTGAAAGAGACTACGCTTACTTCCGTTCCTCTAACAGAGAGGAAATCAAAATTATTTGTCTGTAGTTATTTGCTTTAAAAGTATAATTCCACGTAATTTTACTACGAAAAGCAAACTGAAACTCTCTTCTATCTCCAATAGACCCTAATCAAAGATACATTGAACAAGAGAAAAAAATAATATTTCAAAGAGAGCTCCTTGATTGGTTATTGCCTATCTGGACTTTGCCCTCTGTGTGTGAAATACATGATAAAATGCAGGTTGTTTACAAGGAATTAAGACGCGATTTAATTAAGTTTAAGGTAGCTAAAAGCGAATTTTATTTGTGGAAAAAAAGTCAAAACGCGGGAGAATTGCGTGGAAAATTTACCATCAGAGGCATTTAGTTTCGAGTGAATTTTTTCAGCGGGGTCGGACAATGCGATTAGAACACGTGATCAAGTACAGGTTGTTTACATGGAAATGACACGTGATGGACCGAAGTAATGGGCTCCTGGCGAAGACTAATTTGGAAAGGAGCAAAAAGGAGCGGAAAAACACGCTTCAACTGAAAAATGACACAAAAAGGTTAAAAGCGAGCCCTTCATATCCCGATAAATCTCGACCTTAGTTGAAGATGCTCTCTTGAAGGCCACAAACCATTACACTTATCAAAATTGGCCCAAAATTTATGGTTTATGTCATTCTTTGTTCCTTGATATCCTTTCAAGAAAGCTGTGATATGATTGGTGCGAGATACATACCCTAGACGCTGTGATTGGATATCAAAATGCTGCAGTATGTTTGGTGCGAGATATATACCCTGATGCGGAAATCTGAATGGTGCGAGATAATACCCAAACGGGGCGATCTCATAGCATAACATAGTTTTTTTTTTTAAAGAGAAAAATTAACTCAAAAAAAATTTGTGAATTACTTTGATCATGCACATAAGAAATAATTGAATTTTAAAAAATCGAACAAACGAACAAGCACTGTGCCTTAGAATGTCACGACTTTATGATCGCGAACAAGTGACCTAGTTCACAAATCTGAAATGTAGCCAATGGGACGTACCCTTGTGACAGTAAAACGATGCAAACAACTTTCATCACGTTATTTCAAGAGCACGATTAAAATATTGCAAAAAATGTACTTATCTAAATTTGTAACTAAATCTTGAGATGAAGTCAAACAGAACTAAACTCTGTTTGATTTCTAGAGATCATGTAACACATGGAACGTGGCTAATACACGAAATCACTCTATAGAAGGGTAGCGACTTCGTTCGCAAAGAAGCTGGCAACAACGAAGAAAATTCATCGCGTATCAGAAAAGCACTAAGACATAACCCATACTAGACAGGTCCAACCGATTTTGAACGCTTCCGTCCATTTACGGAGGTCTACCTACACTTACGTCTGCTATGAATTTAACTCGAGCTTGGTGTTGATCGCACATTAACGATTGTGCCACTCAATTGAGTGGCATTAATTACCAGTTTTCGTCACGTAATGTTACCTAACTGGACCGTGTGTAATCGTTTGTTCAGGCAATGCGAGGCTGTGCGTCCAACCCTTCAAAAGAAATCGGAAGGGAGTCCTTCCCGATTTTCTTTTTAAGGGTCGCAGGCGGCTATACACAGGCTGACGATTAAAGGTTAGTTCACTTTAAAGACGTCGTTGTTTTTAAAAACACAACAACAAGCATTCAGCAACACACTTGGAAAGAGGTAACAGTATTTTTATTCATTTCCTTTGGCAAAACATTCATTCCACAGGTGCAACAGTTGTCTTTTCAGATACATAGATACCATCCAAGAACATACGGATATCTTTGTTCTTCACCAGAGTGGACTGGTGGATAAGAGCAGCTGAAAGAGAGAGGAAACAAAGCTCTGAGAAAGGGTTTAGATTGCCTGGTAATTTTACAAAAAAGTAAACAATAGAGACAAAGGATGTGTTTGTATGTTCCCAGAATGGTTTTCACCAGCAGTGAAATCAGAAAAAAGAAGATGCTTTTCTTCCACCTCAAGTCAAAAGCATGGTGGGCTCTCAAAATCAAGAGTCTCAATATTTCCATGTAATTTTTCTTAATTCTGCTTACAACTCTTTTGCTTATAATCAAGTGAACCCTACATTTGGTTTTATCAACTGAGTTGATAATGTAAACTAAAGCTCAAAACATCAGCTTCAGAAACACTACACAGTGGCTAATTTACATTATCAACTCTGTTAACCCTGTCAGTCACACAAGTGACAAAGACAGAATTTCTCCTTACAATATCAATACAATATCAAGCAGGTAAGTGATGAGAATAGAGAAGAATATCAATTATGGGATTATTAGCTGATCCAATATCAAATTTTCTGAACTAACCACCAATGACCAAATTAACTTGTAATATCCTCCCCCCCCTGCCACCCACCAACCAATTGGAGAAAAACACCAAAAGGTGTTACACTAGACTCCACTTTCTGTGAATTGTCTTTTTGAGAAAGACACACTATTTCTGCAACTCATCTCTTCAACCACAAACAAAACTGGGTTCTACCATTCAAAAATACATGCTACCATTATGCACCAATCTTACCAGAGTTGGAAACCAGCTCAATGTCATTCCCTTCCAAGATGATCTCATCCTTCACAGAGGAATTCACACATGTGACACCAGGTCTCATTCTCACACGTCTTATGTACTTCTCACCAAGGAAGTTACGCACCTCCACTAAGGTGTTATTCTCAGAGACAGTGATGTTAATTGGGAAATGAGCATACACTGCCTTCATCTTATACTTGTAGCCCTGAAGAATTTGAAATGACATTATTAATTCACAATAACATTTTAAATATATTAAGTGATTTTTGCCTCTGGAGAATAAAATGAAGTTGAAGTTTGATATATCAACCTCTTTAGTAAAAATAAAAAAAAAACCTAAGCTATAAAATAAACAGTCTTGTTTACCCCTGCCTCTAGCACTTAGTTCCAAAGTCAGAGTTTGGCAAAACTACAATCTAAGAACCCCTTCATAAAAGCTCTATTGAATATATTCCATTTGTAAAAAAGTAAATAAGATTAACAGGTATTGAGTAGGGATAGAAATCTGCTACCCTTTTGTTAAGTCAACAATGAGAGAACTTTAATACTTAATTCAAAATGCACCCCAAATAGTTTCAAATGATATTAAAAATTGTTTGATATCAAAGTATTTTTCTTAATTCAGATATTCCTCTCCCATTAAGTTCTAGTTCTACCTCATAATATTCAGATTTTTTAACAAAATTTACTCAGAATATTTTTTTCCAAGTAGAAAAAACATATACCCCCTAACACTGACTTGGAAATTAAATAACAACTTGATTAACACAGCAAAAGATGTTTTTTCATCTTGTCAAGAGCATGAGATAAAGAAAAAACTGAGTCCCCATGAGGAATCAAACCCCAAACCTTTGCATTCAATGCTCCCCTTCTCTACTTCTGAGGCCATTACAAAGTTCATACAAGAAGTTCCAAAAATTTTTTAATTGTAATAATAATAATAATTTATTACTTAAATAGCGCAAAATACATGTGGATATGATCTAATGTGCTATACAATAAGACTAAGCAAAATAAAATATGAAAACGAACAATAAAAGGCTAAGAATATACAATTTGACTAACTAAAAACAAACTATAAAAGCAAACATGAAAATGCCTGTCTAAAGAGATGTGTTTTAAGAAGTCTTTTAAGACAATTAAGATCATTTACTGCTGTTATATTTGATGGCAATCCGTTCCAAAGTTTAGGAGCAGATGACATAAATGATCTATCACCTAAAGTTTTCTTAGTTATGGTCCTGAGTGGCTATAATTGTAGTTCAGACTGAGATCGTAACATCTTTGCCCCATGCTCGTGACAAGAGAAAAACAACATGTTTCACTACTTCTTTACAGAGCTAAAAATTTACCATCTTTCTTATTCTTTGATTAACACAATTTGAAAACCGTGAATCAAATACATAGTTCTTTAACAATACACTGAGAATCTAAGCAACAAATTTAATCATCATCTGCTTTCTATCTACAAATCTACTCACATAGGTAACTCCCTTGATCATGTTTTCCACATGAGTACATATGGTTTTGACACAAGCCAGCTGTTTGCGTTTTGCAAACCAAACATCAACACGCAGCTTCTTCTTACTCAGCAGAGTAAGCTCCAAGTTAAGATGTCTGAAACTTCTTACCAGGCTACCACGTGGTCCTTTCACTGTCACTTCACGACCTCTCAGCTTGATCGTGACTGCACACATAAAAAAGAAAATTAAAAATTCTTGGATATCCAAAATCCTTGAATTGCCATTCAAACACCTATTTTAAGTTCTGGATAATTTGAGGTGGTACTTAATCAAAGGAGGTACTTTTTCCACTTTCTGTTTTTGTCTTTTCCGAATCTGTTTCTTTGTTTAGTATTTAGCAAAAAATGGTTTGCATGATCATTTTTCAGATATAGGATTTGTACATAAACAACCAGATAAAAGACATAAGTTCATTAAACTTTGTTAAACTTTTTTAAATTGAATCAGAATCTTGCCTTGTTTTAACTCACAACAAAATAGTCAAGTTAAAAAACAGAATAAAAGAGGAAGTTACCATTTTCGGGAATGTCAACTGTAGCACTTGCCAGAATAGTCTTCATGGCTGCAAAAAATCTGAAACAAAAATACAAACAAGAACTTAACCCTTTCACTTTAAGATCTTATTATCAATTCTCCTTACTGTCTGGCATACAATTCTGATGATGTTAGTTTGGAGAATTTGGTATTAGATCAACTGATCCCCTTGGCGATAATTTACTTTATTCTAGAGGTTCTGACTTGGTCACTCGTAGGAGTTAAAGGGTTAACAGGCTTCTTCACTGTGGTTTAAAGTGGCGTCACTGATGACTCACAAACTTTAAAGATTTGCTAAGAAAAAGGGCCATTTTTATTAGCTCACATTTGATCACAATTAGTTTGGAGCGAATCAGTGAAGCCAACGTGTATGAAATCAACTGTCACGTTCAATAAGATTTAGAGCTGCATGTAATCCTAACAGTTGTGGATCTGGGAAATACTTTGCGAGTTTAGCGCTAAAAAGAATATTCTTTAGATGACAGATCAGCTGAAAAAATGTACTTTCGATCGCATATGAAGGTGGCAAAATCTGATGTAGATTCTTTTCCTTCACCAGAGTATTTCAAATATATTTTGTCTAAGCAGATATATTTCAGGGGAATAAACAATGAACGGTCTCGCAATGTAGAAGTGATTTCTGTAAACACATAACATGCGAGTCAACCTTACTGGTTAGCGAGACGATTGTACGTTACCAAGCCTTTAATCGTAGCAAAGAATCCATTGAGATCATAAGTAAATTTATTTAGTTTAAAATAATTTGCAAAACAGCTGTGGATGATGAAAGGATGGGGTAAATATAACCGGATTCAAAGCAACATTATTACCTTTGCGAAAGATGGAGGAAAGAGAAAGACCAGCAATTTGTAACTGTGCTTAGTAGCCAGGCTCTCTGACAATTTCTTCCCTTCCAGGGCAGAGTAGGGAGTAGATCGGCAATCAAACGAAGTAGTGACTCTTTTATTGGAATATAGAGAAAATATACGATATAATAGTTTAGAAAAAACTCAGAAAGAAATTTTTTCATAGAGATGAATATTTTTTTTTCACGGGAATAGTTTTCATAAGAAAACATAACCAGAAACACCCCTCCCCTAGTTGAGTTAGTAAGTTACCAGTCCCTCAACAGGGCAACCATATTTCAACTGGTTGGAAGTTAGGTTATCGACGGTCAAAGTTAGAGGACATTTACATTTAGTTATTTTGCGGAGAATGCATCAAGATGATGGGGCGAGAAGTTCCATCAAGATGTTCGCTAATATATTTATTTCGTTTATCGGCGCTGGAATTTTGGGAATGCCTCACGCTTTTAAAGAGGTAGGAATTTAAGAGATTCTACGCGACGCTTGCTCTCGAACTTGGCCAGTGCCACGAACGCATATATTTGCACGGAGAATGAAAGATGCTGTGTGTATTTTATGATCGATGTTTCTTTCCTCCTGATAGGCGGGAGTTATCGAAGGAAGCGCGATCATGGCATTGATTGGTACTCTAAGGTAGGATTTTTTTCCAACTGATGATATTTTTCTTCAAACGCTAGAAATTTCGTTGTCAAATTCGGTACATAACTTTTCAGCCATTTGTTGTAGATTAGACAGCTTTTTGAAATGGTTAGAGTGAATTTTTGACAAGGACTGTCTGTAACCATAGCAGCCATTAATTATGTTGTTAAATGTTACTATTCTCCCGCAGTCACCCATTATAACAGCTCATAAACATAACTAGGGCTTCACCTTGAACCTCTTTTTGACTTCTCTGTCCATCTTTTATCGCCTTCCTTACTGCTGACATGACTTTCTAGGTCTACCTAAAACTACCCTTGTTCGATCAACGGTTTATTTTAACAATACCCGGCTGTTAATTACTTAAAATTTAAGCCAGAGAAAGGTTAAGAATTTATTTACAAATAACTGAAAACCCTCGAGGATCTTTATATATATGTAGGACCTGTATTACATTGAGATTGTCCAAATATTTATCAATACAGCGAGATAAATTGTATTAAGTAAATATGAATTTTTAGTACTGGCCTAATGAGCCACTGACAGAAATATTGTTCAATGCCATTTGTCACTTATTTTATATGTGAGTGGGTGAAAAAAAAAATTGAAAGTACATGTATTGCTTAAGCCCAGTTCAGACTTCGTGCTTCTGCCATGCTGAACTTAATTCAGGAATTAGGTGCTACAAAACATGGCAGAAGTATGGTGTCTGAATCAAACTTTTGAATTAAATTCAGCAAGCAATTTGGTCTGACAAGCTTTGCAGTGGTATATGACTCTGGCACAGCAGTGATTCAGATGTCATACCCCTGCTGTGCCAAACAAAATTCATAAATTATAGCAATATATCTTAGTGGAATTATGTTACCATGGGGGAATCACAAGAACAATTCTCTTTTGTGCAGAGGGTGTTCCAGTAAAAGCTGTGTTTTGCATGACATTCCCAACATCTGAATCAGGGTTGTGTATCTGCTGTGCTATAGTTGAACCTAATTGCAATCAAGTTCAATACCACAGAAGCACAACATCTGAACTAGGCCTTAGAGCAGGTGTCTTCAACTCAAAGTATACTCTTTCCATGGGAAGATATTGCTGTAATAATATTTCATTGAAAATATAATTTTAGACAAGTTTGGAGGTGCCAATCACTCTGAAGTTATATCTCGAGTTGTAGGGTTTTTGTTGACGTTGACGCAAGTTTTTCATACTGTTATTTTCTATTTTCCACCTTTCCAGAATAATTCTTTCCTTTAATTCAACACATGAGCTCTATTGTAATAACTTTACCCTTGATTGATAAGTTTTACTTATTGACTGAGTGGGAGGGCTGCATAGGAAAATATTTGGCTTAAGGTTATGACTTATGGACCAAGTGCAAGGAATGTCCGTGAGTCATGAACAAGAGTGGGGGCTGACAGACAAGTCATTATATTATAATGATAAATGGCTATATTTTTTCTCTCTTTTGTAGTCATTCATGCTGTTGCACACTGAAAATTCATATTTTGCTTCTTTCAGTGTAAAAGCAATGCTATTGATTATTGACTGCAAGAAAAAGTTAACATGGAAGAAAAGGGATCATGTTAAGGGAGCTGTAATTTCAGTGGATGGAAAGGTTGCTTCAGAGGAGAAGGAATTATTAAAGGCAGCTGAAAGTGGAGAAGTAACAGACAAAGTAATGGAAGATGGGGTGGATGATCTCCTAGTTAGTATTGATAAAATCATGGCTTTTGTTACTTTGATGCCAACCCACTCCATGGCATCAGTCTCCCAGATGGTGTGTTGTTGCTTGTGGGAAGTATTGAGTTCTGGTACTGAGTGTGCCTGAATCTGGAAGGGGAGGTCTGGGTTTAAGCTCTGTCAAGGTCATTGTGGGGGGAAGTTGAACAAGACATTTTACTCTTCCCAGTACCTCCTTGAACCTTGAATGCATGTGGTACCAGAAAACTGTCAAGGAACTATAATCATCAGGGGTTTACTACTTGGCAGCAGATTCAGAGGAGGAGGTTTCAGGTGGCAGGACTTCACCCCCATCAGACCTTTGGGTTCCTTCATTTCTTGCCTGACATAAAAAATTCTTAGAGAAAGATGTTTTTTGTCTTTTCGCTAGCATGGGACAAAGACATGTCCCATGCTTGCGACCAAAACAAAAACATCTTTCTTTATTTCTTTACCAAGCACAAAACTTACCATCTCTCCTATTCTAATTATGTAGGTTTTATTGTGGAAAAAAAATGCATTTTCTGTATCAAAGTTTTGCACCTCCTTCCTACCAAAAACTCCTGGATCTGCCCCTGCTTCTGATAGACTAGTACCCTATCTTTGAAGGTTGGCAATACTCCTGGTGGCTTTATGGTTTAAAATGGGATTGATACCCTGTCTGGGATGAATAGGCTAGAGGAATCCTAAGATTTGGCTATGCTATAACTTGATCTTGCTGGTGGGTTTAGGGGAAGTAAGCAACTTTATATCATCTGAGAGTCAGATCTACACTTTGCATTCCAATCCATGTGTATAATAATCTGTATTTATTTGATATTGATTGTAACAATCTTGACCATGGCAATGAACCCTAACCTTTGAAAGTAACAAAAGTCCAGCTAATGATACTGATTACAGTTGACAATTGACTGTTAAAGTTATACAGCTTTTCCTTGAATTCATAATAGATTCTATTCTTTGAAGGCAGAATGTCTGTGCTAATGTTAATATTGATCTTAAACAAATATCATCAAACTCTGAAAACCATTAACACCTGAGATTTTATGGAAGTATCAAATGAATGTGTTTTAACCAATCACACAGGAGATCAGAACAGTTATCAATTCTTTTGTACCTTAAACTGGCATGCGGGACCAAGACATAATTTCTCCTTACAATATTAATACAATATCAAGCCAATAAGTGATGAGAATGAAGAAAAATATCAATTAGGCAATAAGTAGTTGATTCAACATCAAATTCTCAGAACTAACATCATAAGAATTGTATTGCAGACAGTAAGGAGAATTACTAATGAGATCGTGGGAGTGAAGGGGTTAAGGGCTTTTTTTGTCATACAGTAACGAAACAGATTTAACCACTGAACAATCGCAAACTCATTTCAAACTCTAACACACTTAATATACCTAATAACTGATTATTAAATAATACATGCCTAAATTGTGGCATGCTATAGGACAGAGGCATTGTAGCCTGCCCCTGTCAAGGTTGTTTGGGAAATGGGAAAATATAGAATTACATTTGAGGAGGAAGAGGAGAAGGAATGACGAGCTTAACAATGTTACTCAAGTTATTGTGTATGAGAGGATAGATCTGTTAAAAGTAAAAACATGGAATACTATTTTAGTTGCAGAGTGCAGCCCATGAGATTGATTATGGAGATCTTGGTGAGTGACTCTGACCAGCACTTTGTTTGACCTCACTAAAGAGGACATATTTGGAGAAGGGCTTTTGCAAAAACTTCAAGGGCTTCTATAATTAACAGAATTCACTGTTGGCATCCTATGAAATGTATAGAGAACAGTATGGAGAATATGCATACTGATGTTAGGGTGTCAAGAGTTAAACATCAGTGTAGAGTGCATTTAAGTTCTTTGCTGAGTTGTTCCCATTTATTCAGTGTGACTCTTTGTCCTTCCTTGGCTCTCTGTTTGTTTGTTTGTTGTTGCTGTTGTTTTTTTTGTTTGTTTGTTTGTTTGTTTGTTTTTACATGTGTATAGGCAGCTGCTTGATATCAAACTAACACAACTCTGTTTTTGTTTCTTCAGGTTTTCATGCATTGGGAAATTCTGGTAGAGCCTTGGTTGATACAAGCATAGTAATTTCTCAGATAGGTAATTTTATGATTTTACAGAACAAATTGATTTGTGTTTAGAACTTTTAATACATTAAAGTTTAAGCATTCTTTATTTCACTTTAGTTTTTCCCATGATGGTTAGGTCACTAAACCCTCTGACACCTAAGAGTGACCAGCATCTAATTTCTCCTTACAATATTACCCTTGAATCACACATTTAGGTTAAGAGAATAAAGGAAATGATTAACAAGTAAACAAGCTTTTGATTGTGAAACAAATTCTCCTTGTCAGCACATTGAGAAATGTATAGAGAACAGTATGGAGAATATGCATACTGATGTTAGGATGTAAAGGGCCAAGAGTGTTGATGGCAAATGTGCTGGAAAGCCACCAAGTACTGAGCGCCAACTGTTTGTCTCAACAGGGTTTTCTTGTGCATATTTAATCTTTATCTCTGATACTCTTAACAACATGTTGCCAGTTCTCAGCAAGTGAGTTGTCAGTTTTTTTCTCCTTTCTTATTTTTCTCGAGACTGTCAGTGTAGATGAAATAATCAACTTTTTGCTCGTGATTTTCATCTAACAATTGAAATTAAAATTTCACTGCTTGAGCTCAGGGTATTGGATGGCACAATTTTTGTTGTCACCAGAGTAATGGATTTACTGAAAAAAATTGTTTTATTTTTCTGAAGCTGTACACGTAAATCATTTAACACAAAAAGATATTTCAATAACAAAGGAAACTACTGGATTACATGGACCATATACTAGGCAACTATGGTTGTTCAGTGAAATGTGGTTTTAATTAGTGCCATCGAGTTGATAAATAAAGCACTTTATTTTCTATCAAAGTACAGTCTGTGACATGCAGACACAATTGATTGCCATGGCACCTTGATCTAACCCAAAAAATTGTAACTGCTTTAAATAAATGACCAGATAAATGAGTATAAAATGTGGCAAAGTAACGGTTAGGATGCTGGATTCTGTATAAAGGTTTATTTTTTAGGGTCTGAGGGGGGTACATATTTGAAACTTATGAATAATTTTTAATTAATAATTGTTTTTGTCTTTGTTTGTTTGTGTTTCAGACACCAGTATTTAATGACTCTACTACCTCCACTTGCAGTTTTGGTAAACTTCAGACATTTAAAGAAGTTAGCTATATTCAGGTGTGTCTTGTTAATCTAAATATCTAGTCATCATTAACAAGTGAGATAGATTTTATTGTCCTTTTTTTTTGTTACTTGTTATTAGCAATAAATGGATGTTTGTATTAAGTATCTATTATTTGTAAGTTATGTTAAGCTGTTAAAATTTTTTGTTTCTTGTGCAGTCTTTTTGCAGATTTTGCCAATGTTTTTGCCTACTGTGTAGTCTTTTGGTTTGATTTTGCACACTTTGAGAAAGTAAAGTAAGTATTAAGCCTTTAATCTTTGATAGTGATGAGCATCAAATTTCTTCTAGCAGTATCTCAGTATATAAAAAGTTATTTGTACTTTCAGAAGACTTGCAAAACTTATATTTTTTTTGTGTATGGGGAGGGCTGCTTGCTAAGATTCTACTAAGAGATTTTGTTAATAAATGAAACCCTCAATTGTACAATTTCCATTTTTTCATTTATGAAGTGCAATGTTGTTACATTTTTAGGATTCACCCACAAATTGCTAGGATAAGTGGCCTACCATTTTTCTTAGGAGTGGCAATATATTGTTACGAGGTAAGCATTATTGTGATGGTGATATAGTCATTCTCAATGAGAAACTTTGTGTAACAATTTAATAATCTGGTGATTGTTGTTTGTAGGGGGCAGGATTAATATTGTCATTGGAAGCATCCTGTGCAAGAGATTCACGAGATAAATTTAGATCGTAAGTCTTAAATTATAATTAAAATTAAGTTAAAAAAGGCCTTTTATTTGTTTTCATTTTATTTTGTTTTGTAATTTGATTATGAAGGTTGATATTTAGTTTCATGTTTTTCTCTCCAGAGTATTTAAGCTGACATTGTTTCTAGTTACAACACTGTATATTGCGTTTGGTGTCTGTGGTTACCTGGTAAGTAACTTTCCCTTTTTGTGTTTTAAATATTTATCACCATTTAGTAACAACAGCTTTTAATCTAAAACAGAAAATTTATATTTTTTTACTAGTTAATAAATACTGTACCAAGTTTTATGATGACCAACAAAGGAGCCCTTGATGGTTAAACAAACTCTCCTCGTCAACCTCTAGAGAAATGTACTAAGAAACGTATGGAGAATATGCATACTGATGTTAGGGTGTAAATGGTTAATTTGACAATTAAAAACTCTTTTTATCCAATCCCTGGTGGGTGAGTGACCATCTAAAAGTGGCAGTGGACCCAGTGTATTAGAACAGGAGACTTAGTTCCTGAGTGTGTTTCTTGGAATCATTGGCACCTCTGAACTAACTGAGGTTTTCCTTTCTTTTCAGTCTTTTGGAGAAAACACACAGCAAATGATCACTCTAAATTTACCTCTTGGTAAGAAAGAAAGTTGCAAATTGCATTAATAATTACCACTTCAAAGTCTATGCTATTTCAAAAAATTTCAGGAGTACCGCACTGGCTGCAATGGAGCCAGTGCAGCCAGTCCAGCCAAATCTCATCTCACTTTTCCATGTAAATTTTGCAGATGAGATCAATCAGTTTATTATTAACCCTTTAACTGTTAAGAGTTACTGGCATCTAATTTCTCCTTACAATATCAGCCCTGAATCAAACATTAAGGTTGTGAGAATAAAGGAAATGATCACCAACAGAAGAACTCTTGACTGTTAAACAAATTCTCCTTTTAAAAAACCTTAAAAAAATGTATAGAGAACAGTATGGAGAATATGCATACTGATATTAGGGTGTGAAGGGTTAAAAACTAGAACAATTTTGTAGGTTATGCATTAAATGTGCTTAAAGTTCATCTTGACTGTAGACGTGTGTCGTCTTATTGTTTGCTCCTGGCTTTAGAGTAAGCTTATGTATGTAGTTTGGGATATTTTGGAAATATCTTCAAACTAGCTGGTTTATCTGTTTTGAATTCTTACTAATGAGCTTTGTTGCTTTCTTTCTAGGTCCATTTCCTGCTGTAGTTCAACTTTGTCTTTGTTTCTCATTATTTTTTACTTACCCAAGTAAGTGTGTACTTTGTTTTATTTTAATTATTATTTTCCTTTTTTGCATTTTATTAAAATCTTAAGGAGTTTACATCAAGTTTTTAACTTGTATGTGGTTGATTTGCAGTTATGATGTTCCCTGTAGTGCTATTATTAGAGAAGAAACTTCTTCCAGATGGAGGGAAAAGCAGCTACTACCAAGGAGTAAATATTATATTTGGTTCTGTTTATTTGTTGAGATTTTATGCGATGTTCAATTCCCAATATTTTGATTTAGCTAGATTCTCAGTTCTGGTGAAGATTATTTGAATGTATTAGAAAAGTGAAATTTTTGGCCATTTATAGCTAAATGAAAAACATCATCCTTGATTTCAATTTTTGGCCAAAAAAAAATTAAAAAGCAAAATAATCAAAAAAGCTTTTTTGATGAGGTCTTCCATTTTTTTCTCCTTCACAGGTGTTGTTTGGTGGTTAAGAGTCTAAAATTTTGTTGTGTGTTTTATTCCCTGCAGACTGTTTTACGAGCTTGTGTTGTAGTACTTTCCGGAATTGTTGTGCTTGTGATTCCAAACTTCTCCACACTCATGGCATTCTTTGGATCTAGCTGTTGTACTCTGTTAGGATTTGTTTTACCTGGAATATTTCATCTACGAATTTTTGAAGGGTAAGTTTATTAAGAAATGTCATTTGCCAAACTTTGGTTGGCACAGATTGTGATGACAGCCTTCAGCTGCAGGTTTACTTAGTTTTTAAGGTGAGGGACATTGAGCCTAGTTTGGATGCATTATGCGTTGTTTAAAGTATTGTTGAAGAAAAATGTCTTTTTTGTGTGGGTCTTCAAAAGCTATGCCCATGTAAGAATCAAATGGGACGTGGAGGCTCTGCTCTCAAAAATTGGGGACATGTAGGTCTTCAAAGCTTTCACTAAAGCAAAAATGCCATATGCCAAAAGAAAAAATAGTTAGCCACCTAGGGGATTTGAACTTGGCAAGAGCATATTCCTGTATTTATTAAACCTTTTTAAAAACTCCTTAGATCTGAATGTGTCTCACCCCTTTAACTGTTTTGGTTTTCCTTTAAAATTATTTCCAAGAATTTGCTGTTAGATCAATAGAACAACTTCTACCTGATAAGTTTCATAATTCTCATTACCTGTCTGCTGGATAATGTATGGATGTTGTAGGGAGAAGTTACATGTTCATCACTTCTGGGATTTAAGAGGTGAATTTGTTTATTTGTGTGTTTATTTCACTTTGTCAATAACTGCATTTACTTTCTTCTTCAGGCATCTCACCAAAGGAGAATGGTTTATTGACATATTAATCATATTTCTTGGATTAGTTGGGTAAGGGTTAATTTAATGTCACATACTCTTGAAATAAGTTATCTTCTGTTTATAGAGACTGCATCTGACAACTAATTCTCTGTGATGTTGAGTTTCAATTCAAAAACTTCTCAATCTCAAATAATTCTACTCCACTGTGTCTAAACAGTCGCACATAGTTAATTTTCAAGCAACCCTCCTCACGGTTACCATTTTTGTTGTAATTGGTAGTGGCCCTGTTCATTAACATTTTTTTGCTAAATATTTCTTCTACTAATAGTTATTTATATTCCAGTGCTGTTATAGGAACAAGAGACGCTCTTTTAAGGCTGCTGTCTGGCTCCTGACTCTGTAGTGCTTTATCTGGGACATAAAACAGAGTTTTTGTTTATATGTTTTGATAACTTATTCATCAAAAGCCAAACCAACAAGAAAATAGGATGAAATAATTTTAAAAAAGAGGACCAATAGGAATGTGAGTTAAAAAATAAGATATAACAGAGTTTATTAAAGAACAATATTAAAACTTTGTAACATTTTCCTATTGCAATGAAAGTATATATAAATCCTAAATGAAACTCTTAAAGTCAAATTTCAGTTGTTCAGAACTGCAGTTTAATTGAGTCTCATAGTATATAACTAACTATTAAACATAATTGTTAGTTAGAAGATGTTTATACAATTAAGAGATTGTTATTTTTAGAAAAAAACTTGCAATTTTAGCTTTGATTGAAATCAACCCTTTAACTCCCAGATCTGATAATCAATTCTCCTCACCAGCTACTACATATTTCCTTTTAAATTAGTTGCAAGAATTTGGTGTTAGATCAAGACAACAACTTCTATTTGATATGTTTGAGTATTCTCATTACCTGTTTGGTGGATAATGTATGGATATTGCAGGGAGAAGATAGATGTTAATCACTTCTGGGAGTTAAAGGGTTATTATTGATTTTAAATGTGGTTTTTCTTTAAGTGTGTTAGCTAGGAGGGTGGGGTGGGAAGCTGTGTCATTCTTTTTTCAGTTGGGTGGGATACTGTATATACCTGTAATTCAAAATAACTATTACAAAACAAGTAATAGGTCATTTAAGAGATATTTCACCCTGTACAGTTATTTTTCCAAGTAATAAGCGGGAGTGCTGGAGAACACAAAGAGGGCTAAATTATATTTTTCAAATTGATAAATAAATGTAATTTAAAAAGAAGGTACAATTTTTACATGTTGTACTGACGAAGGACATGCGTTAAAATATCTTGCGAAAAAACATTTTCAGGCTTTTTTTTCCCTTTTTTTCTTCTGAGGAATACTAAGAAAGCATTGCTTTCCTGTTCGGAAATTATATTTCATAAGGCAAGGGTTTATTTTTCTTAAAGAACTCATTAACAAGCTTATTCGTAGCCAAATGATTGCCTGGATATCATGTAACAAGCCGGAGCGGAGATGAAAAGAGGGGAGGGGAAGAGTAGAGGGCCGGCATCGTTTATTTACCACGTGTTATTTTGTAGAAAAGGAGGTGGTTTTTATTGTAAAGTTAATGAATTTTTGTGTACGTGAACGAATAGTAAATTAAATGCAACCGTAAAATTCCGTCCGTTCTATAGAAGTTTTAGCGTTTAGGCGTAAAAGGTCGAGGGGAAGTCTGCTGTCGGGTCGAATGGTCTACATTCCTGGGACATATCCCGGTATCCGTGGGGGTTAATGACAAGGGGTATTGCTATCCCTCTCACGCACCCCTAAATGAGAAGCTAAACCATAAGCTTCCTGTCAGCATTCTGTAAGATTTATTTTGCATTACGCCAGTGCTAAGTAATCTTTCTGGGTAGAGTGAAGTATTATTGGAGTAAGTTACCTTGCTCACGCACACGACACAAGTACCCGGGTGCGGAATCTCACCCCCTCTCCCAATCCCCTGTAATTACCTTCTTCTCCTTCCCCCCCGCCCCTTCTCATCCCGAACCCCCTCCACCCATCTTTACAGAAAGACAGATTCTGCTCAACTTGAATGAAAATAAGCTGGTTTACCTCTTTGGGACGTGTTTTATGAATGAAAAAAAGTTTAGACCCCAGAAGGAGACTACGTGCGAATGGTTTATCGACCTTTATCGTTACATCTTACCGAAGGAAGAATATTATACGCCGGATTGAGTCGATAATATGGTCAACACCGGTAAGTATTTTAAGCATGATTTAAAGGGATGGATGTTTGCTCTGACTTGATAAAAATTCGCCCTTGTAACTGATTTAAACTGCAACTTTGAATGTGGTTGGCTTATTGAAAGTGCGACAACAACTTGGCAAGTGCATGAGTGGAAAAAAGGAGCTTTTTTTAAAACAATAACAATCGAGGAAAGTGTAATTTTCATGACTGAATACAAAACAAGTTTTAAATGTTTTTTTTTTTTATCATTTCCTTTTTAATGATTTCTATTTGCACAATTTGTAACTTCCCTTCAACGTTCAAACATTGCGGGAAATTGCGAACGACTTCTTATTTTAAATTGGCCTTTATCGGAATAAACATATCGAATGACAGTTCAGTGCGGCACGTTTACAGCGGGAAGTGAAACAGACTTTGAACAAGAATATGAGACTTAACGAGGAAGTGCCTTGAAATGGTTGCTTCACAAGAGTCTCTGGTACAAATGAAGAGATTGTTATAGGCCGCTGAAATCACTTTGGTGAAATGGGAAAACAGAAAGCGAGGTTTCCACGAAGTTGAAATCCCACTGAGAAAAAGGAAATATGTTTTTCATTAATTAAAGTTACGTTGACTACTGCAGAGTAGAAAGACCCCATTTTTTTCAAATTGATGCAGCTGAGAACTGACAAGCGGTGTTCAAGCGGCTTTGAAATAATGAAAAAAAAAATTTTTTTTATTTCCCCAAGGAAATGTTTTGTTTATCACATAGGAACTAGATATGGTAATGAACTGCAACTTGTTTTTCATACATCGCGTTTCACTTCGCTCACACTGTGATAACTGCTGATAGTTTTAATCAGTTTCGAGACAAATCCATTCTTAATTTACTGTAAAAACTGTGTGTGTTCACGATTTGCTATATGACCTCCATTTGTGTTCGTGACTCCAATTCATTTTGCTTACGTCTTGTGTTCGTTATAGTGAGCAAACAGTTTTTTCCTTCGCCTAAATCACAAAGAAAACTAATTCAAGCTTTTTTAAAATGTCAAAAGTTCGCTAGGCACGTTTTCGACTTTGTGACTGATAATTTGACGAACTGTTTGTTTTTTAGTCAATTTCGTGATTCTTTTATGTCAAGAACATCATACGCAAATGAAGAAGTTTCTTTTGTCTGCATTCTTTTGTTAGTCACGTACAAAAATGCAAGCCGACTATATCTATTATGAGACCAGTTGTTAATTTTTCAATTCTCAGCTGAATAGTCAAACTAAACTTCACGTTGGCCCACGAGGCAAAAAGTATTTTCATGGAAACAAACTTCACAGAAGTCTGTATATTTGTCGTTCTATATGCCATTGTGGTTCTGGCTGGTTTACCTGGAAACGTTCTCTTTATTGCCGTGGTAAAACGAACTCGTTCAATGCATACAACGACAAACTTCATTCTCGGAAACATCGCCGTTGCCGATGTATTCACTCTTCTGTTTTGCTTTCCTGGGGTGCTGTTGCAGTTTGCAGTGGACCATCATCCAAGAAACGCCTTTGGAAGTTTTCTTTGCAAGTTTGTCACTATGCATCAAATTGCTGGTGTAACTTTGTTAGTGTCTGGCCTAAGTTTGACACTGATATCCATCGAGAGACATAACGCTCTGCTTCAGCCAATGAATACTAAGCTTCGCCTACGAAAGAAACAACTTTATTTAGCTGTTAGTCTAATCTGGATTTTCTCAATCGCCTTTGTTTTGCCCCTGTTTGTCGAACAGAAATACGTCGATGAACTAAAGAGCTGCCACATGGACTGGAAACCCCCCGTTTCGAAGGCTTACTGGGGATCTTTGGCAGGACTCACTCTCCTGTCGTGGCTTGTAATGTTCGTTTGTTATTTTCGCATTGTTAGTGGAATCTTGCGCGGGGACATTTTATCATCCAGCCCAAATAAAGGCGAAAACGTCAAAGAAAAGGATATCCAAAGCAAGAAAAAGATTGTCAAACTTTTGATAACTATCACCATTTTATTTATAGTTTGTTTTTTGCCATTCGCTTTAGTCTCAGCCATAAATGTTTCATCACACAGTTTGTTTTACAAAGTTTCCTATTTCTTGGTGTACTGTAGCTGTTCTCTAAATCCAGTGGTTTACGCATTTCAAAGTTCAAACTACAGAACAGGCATAAGGTGTCTCTGTGCTAAGAGACAAACAATGCATATTGTGAATTCTGGGAACGATGTCTTAACCAGGTAGCCTTGATGAGCCGCTGAATGCCGACATTGATTTTGCAAATTCCTTTGACATAGAACAATGAAAAAAATATATTAAAACACTGTTATTAACACAGTAATAAACTGACTGTCGTAAATAAAATACACCTGAATTCACACTATTACCACAGTCTCAGTTTTCGGTCTTCATCCGTATTTTCATTAGTAACAGACCATACTTTCTATCTGTTTACCAGCATGATATTCCATGCATGTTTTCCTAACATCCCAAGTGGGTTATTACGCGCGCCGGTAGCCCTTTAAAAAGTGTAGTATATTGCATTTATAAAAGAAACTTCAATTTTGGAATGGGTTTAGCAGTTAAACGATGGGTTTCTGTCTAACCAATCAGGGGCCTTGTAGTATCTCAGGTATTTTATGAATCCCCCCATAAGAAAATTTCCTGTCTTATAATTTTTGAAACGCGCATGGATCACAAGAGAGGGTGGAATGGTGCGAAGTGAGAAAAGTACCCCCTCACTCCCGCTGAGAGGCTGTGATGTAAATTAAGAGCCCATTTTTCGCGCTTTTGTTAGCGTAGAAAGGGGTAAGTTTCTAAAGAAACTGTGGTGCTGCGTAGGTGGGAGAGTATAACAGGTAATTTAGTGTTAACAACTGAGTTGAAAACGGAAATTGGCCACCGTAAAGAGTAAAAAAGCTGACGTTTCGAGCGTTAGCCCTTCGTCAGAGCGATTTGTGAAGGGCTAACGCTCGAAACGTAAGCTTTTTTACTCTTTACGGTGGCCAATTAACGTTTTCAACTCAGTTGTTAACACTAAATTACCTTTTGTTAAAATGTTTGTTTGTTGTTGTTTTTGTTCGCTCCATACCTTAGACATGAAACATTGTATATAGCAAGGCCAATCTACCTATTCAGTCAACTGAAAACAGATCAATACAGAAAGAGCCTGTTGTTGGACTTCTGCGCAGTCGCATTTACTACAAGTACGTTCAAGTTGAAACTCTGCACAGATATAGCCCTAGGGAGGGGAGGTGGGGAACGCAAGGTTATGTGAGAGAGTAGGGCTAAACTAATGTCCATCGAGTTACCATTAGTAATGGGGATTTGGAACGCACTTTTGGTTGTGGCCTCCATTGTAGTAGTTTTAACAGCTGGGATAAAAATTGTGACTTCATCGAGTTGGTACAAAAAACGTTTTGCTCAAAGCCAAAACGAATGGGTACATTTAACCAGAAGAGTTTTTGATCCCCTGAAACGAAAGCTTTTCTCAGACCTTGAGCAGCACCTGAGATCAATGGAAGGCGATGTTTTGGAAATAGGGATCGGTCCAGGTTCAAACTTCGATTATTATCCCCAAGGTACCTCACTTATCGCTGTTGACTCGAACCCACACGTCGAAGAATCTCTCAAGAGAAACTTAGAGAAAGCTGGCAGAAAAATTTACCTTAAAAAATTTGTGGCTGCTTCGACGGAGGACATGAGTTGTAAGGGAGAAATCGGTGTAGAAGACAATTCTGTCGCCGCTGTTGTTTGTGCGAAGCTGTTGTGTAACCTCTCTGATCTTCAGATGAGGAAAACCATCGCAGAAGTGAAGAGAGTTTTGATGCCTGTGAGTCTTTGTGTTGTTGTGTTCAGTGTGGAAATATGTTAGAGGTGGGAGGGGAGGGGGAGTGGAGATGGGAGGGTATGTGTCAATCAGTAATATATTTTTTTCCAATAAAACGAAACAGTATTGTGGGTATCAAGATAGTTAATGATTAATATTTGTCATAGCTTTCATTTAAAGATGGTAATTGTTCTCAGTGGCAAACATACTGCTAAAACATTGGGCCTTGTTAAATAGTATCATTTTACATATAATTCAAATCATATATGATATGTCTAAAACATACTGCGACAGAAGGCAAACCAGTAAGCTCTTTACAAGCCCTGTCAAGTTGTTGAACTTAGGAACACTAAAAAACAAATCTATCATTCTAACTACACTTACATGAGACATTTAATGTGAAAAGTTTATTTAGGATGAGTCAGTCAGTTTTCTAGTATATGCATCCTGATACAATCTGAGGAAAGGGTAAACTAACAAAAAAAAAAATGATTGTAATGACATTTTGCAAGGAGTTGGAATACCAAAAACTACAACAAATACAGAAAAGAAAGTGGTCGAACATAAGACTGATGAACTTAGAATCAATTTTCCTGTCAAATGCCTGAATAATCCGAAACTTCCATGATGCCATGCGAAACTCTTCAATGTGCCATCAGAATGTCAATTTCTGACTAATTCGTTCCCATGGCACTCAAATGTCAGAAATTACATGTGTGGCCAGTGTGTGACTTGAACCTGGGACCTGGGGATTATGAGTCTGCATGATGCTCTCAGTGCTTAGCAACCCTGCTTATTCCTTAAGTTGACCTATCTTAATAAAGTTTGATGTGCCTCAGAGTATTTCTAGCCTTGTTAACAGGGATGGCTGGGGAAGGGGTGGCAGGATTGGTCACCACAGAGACCTGTACCCAACAGTTTGCATTGTAAGGCAGAAACAGTGGCAGATCAATACCTTGGCACAAATTTTTTTGAGTATTTTAGAGGTGCCACCCATGGTGTGAAGAGGATGGCAGGTGCACCATGCTGGAAACTGAATCCAAACTAAATACCTTGACCTAAGGAAATTAAAAATAAGTGGGTCATCAAGGCCCTGTATATAAGGTCCCTATCCTAGATATGCCACTGCAGATGGTTATAAAAAGGACACTGTATCAAAACTGGAACTGGTTTTGTGGGTTCAAATGTTCCTGGCTCAGATATATCATACTCATTTTAATTGGTCTTAAAACAAATCATTCTGTTTTGCTTTGGTTATTTTTTTGTTTATTGACTTTTTCTTTTTTCATCTGATGGCCACAATTGATGAATGAAAATTTTGCTAATAAATTTTTGTGTATTTTTCAGGGTGGCAGATTTTATTTTCTGGAGCATGTTGCTGGTTAGTGTTAAGACCTCAGGAACAGTTTTTAAGTTGAGCATTTTAATGTTTGAATTACCCCTTACAAAACACTAAGTTTTTTCACTTCTCTGTTTTGTGATAGCTAAGCCATGGACATGCCAATACTTTCTTCAACATCTTGTCACCAAATTGCGCATATGGCCTTCATTGTATGATGCTGCTGTAATCAAAACACTCTGTCCTACATACACAATGGTGGCTTCAAATGGGTGCAGTCTGAAAAGATCCAGGCAAATTGTTCACAAGAAATGTTTTCTGCACCAAACAGTATATATTCAATATGGCGAGCAAGAGTGATCTTGTATTTTGTGAATATATGGTTAGTTGGCCTTGCAGAAAAGGGGCAATTGTCTGAAGAGAAAAAAAAATTGTGACATAAACAAGTTGGATTGTGAATGAATATTCTGAGGCTACTTTTGAAAGAAGAGGGAATGAACGGTTGGAAGGACTATAACAAGGAAGGAAGAAAATAAGGAATGTTGAATTTAACATTAGATTCTCGAGCTCTATTTTAGTGGTAAGGAGTTTTAGCAGAACTCTTTATTACTGCTTACCTTTCCTTTTACGTGATTGATTGTGAATATTTCTCTGGATTCAATCCCACTTTGTGCCAAATTATCAGCATAACAGTAATTCCTCCTTCTCAAAACTGTATTTGTCGTAGAAAATTTGTTACTGTGGTACATGTAAAATTAACGTTTGGTCTCATTAAAAATTTACTGCTTAACAAGACTGACAGCTTTTGTGCAAACAACTTTCTGTTATGTCTTTAACTTCTTTTTGCTTTCACGTTCATCAATTTGCAATGATATTGTGGTGTTTTCTTCTGGAATTTTGGGAGGGTTTTTATTAACTCTGTAACGTAGAATCCTCAGTCCCGTAGTTCTTCGGACCATTCTAAATTTTTTCTATTATAGTCTAAACTCTCCCCAGGGATCCCAATTAGTTGAGATAACAAAGCGTGGTTTGACTAATCCTGCTTAAATTATTCGACAAAGCTCACTTGGCACTTCTAAAGGTAATCTGATCGCTTAAAAAACGACTCTCTGTCGATTGGTGAGTACATTTTTACTGAACAAGTAAGCACGTGCTACTACACATCACGGCGCCGTGTTTTAAGTTTTCAAAAGTATACAATCTTACGGAAATCTTGTCAGTCTCGTTGAGTGACGAACCATTATTAAGATCAGAGAAAAGCCTTGCTCTGAAGTAAAGATCTTAAATTCGAGTAGTCGAAGAGATGGCTGAATTTTCGGCAACCTAGAGAGGAATATAAATGTTATGTTTTACATGAAATTTAAAACTCAAAACAATTATTAAATATATAGCAACAGAATTTCGTGGCTACTTTCAGAGTAATATTTTGTATATGAAATTAAATTGGGGGTCAGGACACTTTTAAACCACTTGCAATGTAGACTTTCTACAGATTTTCTTTTGTTGTCAATTATTCCACTTGGCAAAATTTATGTTTCCTAGACAGACGACTACACCCCATTTATACTCCTGGGTAACAGCTTTGCTAAAGCTAAATAACACAGTACAGTGAATCAGGGGGATGATGGGGGGTGGGGTGGGAAGGGTGTTAAAGAAAATTTGGTTTCACCAGCTGGGTTGATAATGTAAATTGGCCACCATAGAGAGTTTCTATAAAGCTGATGTTTCAAACATTATCCCTTTGTCATTCAGTGTTCGAATCTAAAATTAACATGATCAATGCAGGTGATAAAACCTAATTATCCTAGGACTTTTGCCATTTATTCTGGGTTCTACCAGATTTGATTTTCTTGGGGAGTAATTTCTTTCTTTCTTACTCTCTTCCTCATCAATAGAGGGATGCATTCTGAAAAGTTGGCAGTTATTGAAGTCAAGGTGAACTTCTTGTCTTGTCAGGCACTGGAAGATATCAGCGCGGGGTCTTTTTTAACTGATCTCTGGGGTGCAGTGAAAAATTCTCCAGATTCTCACACTGTGCATGTTGAGAAAAACAAGCATGTGACTCCTGAAGGGGTTATGAAATATGTCAATCATTCTTGTGACAGTAATGCAAAATTTATCTTTGAAAAGCGCAAAGTGTCATTTCCAACCCGAAGTGACAATCACGAAGTCTGTTGGCATATGGTGGCCACTCGTAACATCAAGAAGGGCCAAGGAATCACCTTTGACTACAATCTAACAGAATATGACATGGCTGAACATTTCCAGTGCAACTGTGGTTCAGAGAAATGCCTAGGTGAAATAAAAGGCTTTAAATATTTGACACCAGAGCAACAGAAGTCCAGGGCAAGGGAGTTATCTCCAGTTGTTACTGAACTTTGGGAAGAAAATGCTTGAATTGTATAATATTATAAATTGAATTCTGGTGTGTCAAAATACTTCAGACTAATTAAATATTTACTGACACTGGTTAAATGTCTTGATTCAATAAAGAGGAAATTATAAGTGGAATTTTTGCTCAAGGAAATAAATTATCCTCACAGGTGAGCTACACTTAACCTTTTAACTCCCATTAGTGACCAAGACAGAATTTCTCCTTACAATATCAATGCAATATCAACCAGACAAGTGATGAGAATAAAGAAAAATATCAATTTGGGGATAATTAGTTGATCCAATACTAAATTCTCTGAACTAACATTAAAAGAATTGTATGGTTGACAGTAAGGAGAATTACAAATTTGATCCGGGAGTTGAAGGGTTAAAACACTTTTACCATAGAAGCTTAAAAAAATGGAGTTCCTCCCAGATTTACAAACCCTTATATCAGGGGCAATGAAATATTTTTCTGTTAATGCTTTGTTTTAGTGGAGGTCAGTCACAATTTTGATTAAAATATATCAATTTTTGACCTGTTGATGGTGAGCTCTAATTTGAGTAATCACAGAAAGCTGAAGTATTCAGGCTTCCTCGGGATTGGAACCCATGCCCCCCAGATACAATTACTAATGCTGATTGAGAAATCTATTTTTGGTCTAATTTTACATATGTTCTGTATACAACTAGTTCCCTGGTGTGCAGTGAAACTTCAATGACATCTCAGAAATAAGAGACAAAGCATACGTCAGGAAAAATAGTCAATCACTTACACTTTGCAAATAGACTTTAGGTTAATTGAAAGAAGAAACAATGTAACATTATCTTCTTTGTCAAGGAAAATGTTGCCTGAATACAGAGCTGGATAGGAGAGGATTTCAGGCTACTACTTAAGTAAATAATCAGTGTTACGTTCTAAAGGGTTGGGACTTTTACCCTTTTCTTGTAGTCAGGCCAATATTCCCATGGTATGTGAACCCAAAGGTAGCCCTGCACGCTTTCATTCCTTTGAGTACTCAAAGTGACCTTTTGAGGAAAAGGCACTTTTTTTTTCATACATGTGCAAGGGAAAAGTGTCAAACAACAGCAGCTGTAAACATATTCTGTTTTGTGGAACAAATCAGTCTGCTCTGAGCTGAAAACTATTTCTTGGTTTTAGGCCCCTTTCAGGATTGTTAATTTACCTTGTGACTACATTGTATCAGATTTATTAAACAGCAGCCTAAGCAATAACCCCTTTGCTTTCTTCAATCAATGGCCTGATTTTAAGGTGACAATTCTCAATGAAAGTGCATGAAATAGCTATTAATATACATTTTCATTGATACCTTCATTAGCCATTCCGGGATTTTGCAGGCTTTCTTTAATACTGTCTGCCAACACTTGGCACCAAAATTACAGCAATGCTTTTAAGATCGATCCAACATCCTCCAATAAGAACAGCTTTTGATTACCCTTTTAACTTTGATTGAAAACTTAGTTCAAACATTTCTAGAGAAAAAGTGACAGGTGTATTGGAAAAATAGATTAACAGGAAGCGAAGCGAATTTTGCGAACGAAAAAATTATGTAAAAAGCTGCATATGGAGATTAAAATCAAATCTGAGAGCGGAAAAAATATCTTGAAGGATTTTTGTTTTGTAACAAATTTTAGATTAGAATCTTTATTCAACGGAGGATCAGATAAGGTGTGAATCCTTTTAAGAAAACATTAAATATAAGCGGTGTAATTCATATTTGAAACAATAATTTGGTATATGGGCGTATTCTGAATGTGGCTAAATTTTCAGTTGTTTCCGATGTATGTATGTTTCATGATTGCTATTAATTGACAAGGGACCACAGTCTGACGTCTAAATATTTCAAAGTAAATCTGAACGCGTTGGATTGGTTTTAAGAAAGTTTTCTTGCCTTTTGATCGACCACAGCGTCTTTTTAATGGTCTTCTCTCGAGGAAAATCTTTCCGGAATGTTTCTTTTAATATTGAGGATTTTTGTTGTTTCAGAAGCGTTTACTTTGCTTCAAGGTAAGTACAACTTTTCCGATGAATCAATACATAGTCCTACTCAATTTCAACTTATGTTACTTTGATAACTTAACTGCTAGTTTGAATGTTTCTTTTTTTATAATGACGACGCTCGAGACAATCATGTTGAGAAATTTACCCATCCGTTACTCGTTAACCATTACTTTAAAAGCACAAGTGGGTTCGAATCGTTGGTATTCAAATATTAAAATGCTGGTCTCTGTTTGTTTATTTCGCTCAAGACGGGTTCATTTTAAAATAAAAAATGCAATACCTTTCTCAGTTGTGTAAAATGGATTTATCGTTTTATAATAACATAATGTTTAACTTCATGTATCGTTTACGATGAAAACTTCATTGTTACAAGCCCTTCAATATCAGTTTCGGGTACCCATCATTCCATCAAGACTTCTTCAACTTATGAATTTAATCCCTTTCCCTTCTGTGTTTGTTAGCTTCTGGTTCAGACTTGTGTCCTCTTATCTTCTTTTTTAATGACCTTTGCATGTAAATGAAAGCCACTTTCAGTAAATTTTGTAGTAAGGTTCTTCAAGCGCAATACATATATTTATGGTTGAAGTCGTGTAAAGAATTTTTTTTCAGTACAAGGGAACAAAAAACGGAAAACGCAAACAAACATTCAAATATAATTTATTTTTGATGTTATCCTTGAAATGTTAAACGTTGACGTTGATATATTTTCGCTCACGCTTCAAAATAAACTTTGAAGTTTTTCCGTTTGAGACTTCACTGGGTCAAAGTTTCATCCAATCAGGGAAGTTAAAAAATCCAGATTTTTTTTCGTTGACTCATGAACTGGTCCAAGTTTTTCTTTTTCTTACTGGTTGCAAAATTATTGAAATATATACTGATTGACTTGATATTGTTGCTACTTTGTTTCAAATCGATCGATTTATCGGTCGTCATTGATTTTAAAACGGCTTAAATGATGTTATATTAAACAATTATTCACGAAGTGAAGTTACATTGTGGTGGAAATTTACCTCGCTGCTTTGCGGCTCGGAAGAAACCCACCACTTTCACCGACACTTAGTAAGATAATTGTTACAAAATACATTACACGTGAGCCAAAAGAGTAGTTTATTTCCGACAGTATACTGAATATCAAACTCTTGATCCGGGAATTTTGTCTCTTTGGTTGTTCAGAGGTGAAAAGTACTTGTTAAGCATTTCCGAGTTAGCTCATCAGCGTACGAAAAAGTTCTATTCACCCGTGTAGTAGGCGCTTGTTTGCTTTTTGGAGTAATGTTCAAACGAGTTTGGAAAGTTATCCGGGATTATATTGGTTTTGCTTCACCTCGGTCTGTGATTGGTCCATAAAATTTACGCCACAATCTCAACCAATCAAGTGCAAAGTTTAACTTGGTCACTCACGTTTTCCCGCGCTTCAAGCAGCTTGCTGGTTTTTACCGTCTTTGTGATTGGCTGTTGTGATCACTTTGGTTTTGGTTTTCTTACACCCAAACGAAGTGTGCTCTTTCACATGTCAGTCCCACTCCTATCGGTGGCAACCTCTACTAAGAGAATCATCTTTTGCGTTAATCATCCATAAAGAACGTAACGTAATCATCGAATGAATTCTAACCCACGTTCAGATTGCAACTCAACATGACTTTACCTCTCTTTTTCGTCACCTCGTTCTAGGAGTACCAATTTTTGAGCCCGTAGGGTGCTACCTTGACAGCGGTACCTCACCTCGCCCCATGCCACTGCTTCTCAAGGATTTTCGCCCAGAAATGAACTGGAATAATATCGAGGCTGTAATTAAACAGTGCGCAAGCTTGGCATACAACAGAAGTTTCAGGTTGTTTTTAGATCTCCTGTTGCTATAATACACGTCACGTTGCACTTAATTTATGAATTTATGTATGTTGTTCATTGGGTATAATTACTACGTTATCTTACTTCTTTGTTGCTTCGGATTCAGCTATTTTGGACTACGTTATTATGGACAATGTTGGTCCGGTGCAACCGCTGATCAAACGTACAGTCGTGACGGACCGGATAAGAGATGCGTGAGAGGAGTAGGCCTGGAATCAACCTACTTTGTGTACAAATTTTATGACTACAGTCATCAAGGTGAGAAACAGGGACAGGTTTACCACTTCTCATTTCCGTATTGGAAAAAAAAAGCATACATACACACGTTAAAACGGCGCGACATGTGACTCTGAGAACTGGGTAAGGGAGTCTTTTTACGGAAGTGAGTAGGTGGTTCTAAGGCTCGTGGGTTAAGCGTTCCCGTGTGATAATTCAGAAAGAAATGTACCGAGTAGTAACAGTGCTGTATAAAGATCGTTTCAACTCAACTTATTCGCAAGCTTTCCGGGGAACCAGTTCTATTATTATTCAATGTCTACCTACGTGATGGGCAAAATAAGTATTCTTCAATGCAAAATAACATGAAATGAAGTAAATATACGCAATCAAATTTTCTGCGCTTTATTTTTCATAGTTCCCGGATGTAACATGGTGTGGAAGGCTCAGGATAACTTCTGTTTTCTTGTGTCTGCAAATTACAGTTCAACCGAGAATAAAATGAAGGAATACTGTCAAAAAAGTGAAGGAGACTTGTATTATGCAACAAATAAAAGTGCATTCCGCCTACTGGAACAGTTTCTTTACACGATTGTGTCGAGTGCAAATGGCGGAAAATCTTCCCAATGTATTGTGGTAGGCCTTTTGAATGCAAGCTCCTTCTCAAACTTACCTCTTACACAGCAGAATAAATCAAACTCGATGACACACATCTGTGCCACGAGATTGCCAAGTCAATGGAAGTTACAAGGATGTCTTGTTAACAGCTGCCATCATTTGTGCATCGCGCCCAGAGGTGAGGGTATAGATATAGAAATATCCGTGTTTCACTTTACAAAAGGGAGATTCCCAGGGAGAAGGAGGTTACGGCGGGGACCACAATAGGTTAATCATTCCCTGCAGGGTCAGTTATTACAATTATTTTACCCCGGGAAATCTCAAACACCTAAGATCTCGAACCGGGAATTTATAGAGTCCACGAAAGGTTGAGTTCAACTGGACGCGACTAAAAAAAGAGAAATCAACTTTAATACTTCTTCATTTCAGACATCAGCCCTGTTTCTGGAACATTCATCCAGCATGCCACAGACGCTGCTTTCACAGGTCACATGATTACCAGCCTGCTCGTCGATGACGTCACTGTATGTGCACGTGAATGTCTGCTCTATCGCAATTGTGTGTCGTTTAATTTCGAATATCTACCGACTGGAGGTCGAGAATTAATGAGTTCAGGAAGGGTCTGCGAGCTGAATGACGAAATTAGAGACAATTGTTGGGCAAAATTTCATCGACGGAACAATTATAAATACTATGAAAGGCTGCAACTGTAAATCAGTGTTTCTCGAGTTTTTTTTTTTTCAGTTTGAATTTTGTTGAAAAAATGACTGTTCCCCTCCCGAACCGTGGTGTTTTGCGAAATGGCTCGATTTGGACGTAAATAGGAGACAGCAAATTGTTAAAGGCGCCGAATGGCAAAAAACTGCCTCTAACATCTCTACTCTCGAAGGACACTGATTGGATTTTTTTATGCTTTCTCTCTTTCCCTGAGAAAAATACAGACTGCCACGTGATATGAAAGAAAACTTGTATCAGAAGTGACGGCAAGAAAGTGATGTCGATTTAGTGTCATTGCTTAGTTCGTGTATTGTCCATCAAAAAGCTCTTACGATATTTGTACCTGCCAAAAAAAAAAATCCATCTGATGTTCAATTATATTTTTGGCATTAAAGTAAAGTTGTTGATTTAATTCTGACTTGTACTGAGAGAGAACTCGCACTTTAAGTTGTTGTCAGCTAGTAACTTCTTCAGCGTGCCCGAAGATGAGCAATGTTGCTAAGCAACGCATTCTTCCCTTAAATTTGCTTACCGCTGTCGTGATAAGATTCAAACGTGTACTGTGAAAAATTCATACAGTCAATTCGTAATTTCTTCTCGATACAGCTTCAATAATTCCCAGTAAAGCGTACAGATTTTCCTGCCCAATAATGATAGGTTGATAAACGGCATAGTTCAGCTGATATGGAGGAGTAAACAAGAAAAAATCAACTCCGATATGTTTTTAGCATAGGTGTAAAGGAGGAAATGACAGGCTTTCTCGAAATCAAATATTAAGTAGTCTTAAGGGCAAAACTTCAATTCTTTTCTTTTAGTTCTTCAGAAAGTAAAACAATAATTTGGTTATCTTTCACAACGCCAATTTTCTAGTAATATGAATAGGTATAAAATTTTCCTTTTTAATTAATTTTCCAATCAGGAACAAAACGAAAGGTCGATTTGTTGAAACAATAGCTGTAAGGTTTTTTCTCATTATACAAATATTCAAAGCAAATAAATTGTGTCATTGAATATCTCCTATTCAGGTGTCGATAAAATGAGTTGAGAATTCGTCACTCGTTTAATTTTCAGCTTCCCAGAATCTAACGAGCTTTGCACAGAGCAAAAGTAACTTCCTACGTAAGTGTCTTCAATTTGCTCTCTTTTCAGAAATTTTTAGAATTTTGTGGGATAAAAGATCTATTTAGAAACAATGAATTAATTTTAATGCTAAAAGTAGGGAATAGAATGTAGCTATCGTAAAATATTCGAAACTCAAGAAAGTACAAAAGTTCTTTATTTCAAACGAATTCCGTATATAATGAAATCAGCTGTGTGTGAAAGCAAACAAATTAATTATAAATGCCGTTCAAATTTTAATTTAGTTTCTGAACCAGCGCTAGCGTTCGTTTCAATCAAGATCAATACCACAGATTTGAAGTTCTGCTCTGAATCTCATTTCACTTCAATGTTATCTTGAGACAAAATCTTTCCGCCGAATCTTTCAGGTGAGGATCTGAAGATATACATGTTTTTAGAGGTATATACAATCAACTCAAAGTTCGAATCTGTTTAGCGGCGTCTGAGCTACTCGATAGATGAAGACGAACTACAAGCATATTTTAAACTTAATCCTAAACGAATTTGGTCACCAATGTTGCAGAAAAAAGGTCAAGTTCTATTGTCAACAGCCCTCCATGATTCTCGAGACAAAAGGGGTGCGTGCAGACTTTCCGTATGGTAAATATGACTCTTGGCTTCCAAGGGAGTATTTTTTATTATTCATTTTTTTTTTTACATGAAGATACACTGTAGAAAAAGGAACGCTATTTCTTCAACATAAGTCAGGCAACAGCGCGTGCGACAGTGATATAAAACGCAAGCTTAAGGGATCGTGTTTAGGAAAAAAAAACCTTAATTGTCTCACAACTTTACCATTACGCAGTTCAAAATAAGTCTTAGCCCGAGAACTACACAGAGGATCTTCAAAAATGTATTTAGAATTCATTTCGTGCCAAAAAACACGTAACCATACTATCTCAACCGATGCTTTCCTGTCGACCTTTAAAACAAGACATCTAATCCGCTGAGGGGGATCAGATCTCTCTCTTGATAGGAATATGGTCCGATAAGCAATTAATTTGCAATTGCCTTTCACCAGAGAGTAAAAATTTTTCGTTTGATTTTCCTTTATTCAGTTTCTAACATTAAGGTCTTAACGTCAAAAGCTTTAACTAGCTCACGAGTCTGACTTTCTGGCTTTAAAGCAAAGGACATCTTAAACATAGGATAATTGCTTGCGTTAATTAGAAAAGAAATTTAGACTAGGATCATTTTGTCGAAATACTTAACTATTTTTGAAAACAACATGGAAAACAGAAATGCAGCTGGCCAGAGAAAAATTTGCCCTGTCATAGCATGTCGCGTATCGATGGCGACCGTTGTCACCTGGGGAAGACCCATAGTGCATGCGGTTGAAATTTTGCGATCTACACCGAAAGAGACAACATCATGAGATAAATGATTATACTTTATGGCATTTGCAGTAGATTCGTAGGTCGTATACTGCCAAAAGCAATTCTGCAACCTGATGAGCCCCCAAGTCCTAGGATGATATGGATAACTGTATAAAATGAGGTTTATTAGGACGATCTAAAATCCGTAACCAGGACGGAAAAATGATACAAAATGTAACTCTGTTTAGTAATTGATATTCATAGGTTTTTCTCTTTCTCGTATTTTATTGCTTTTATATATTTGTTTACCTGTTTGACTTGTTTGTATGTTTGTCTGATTTCCTTTACGCCGCGCGTGTCTGCAAGCATACTTATATAGTTTACCTGTGTCCTGTATCCTCTCGGTTATAGCATCGGATGAAATCACGATTTACACCCAACTTATGATCTATTGATTCAATCGTTTGCTCTCATTCATTTGCAGATATCTTGGGAACTACATTTTCTTCCTTTTAAATCCAGTTTAACACGATAATTACGTACTCCAATCATCGAATAAGCAAGATTGAATTTGTTTGAACATATAGGGATTTTTCCAGTATTATTTTTTATACACCCTCCCTAAAAAATGTTAGAAAACTCTTTTCTTTGTAATTAAATTCCCATGTTCATTCCATAATTACAGGGTTTCATTCTGAAAGTTTCCGCAGATCATGATTCGAAAAGTAGATCCGAGTTGTACGTGCTGTTTGCGATATGTTGCTTAAATTTGATTAATATTTAGATGAGTGTATAGGCTACACTGATCAGCGAGATCTACATCCAAATATTCCATTTTTGGTTATATTACTTAGGGTGACGCATAAGGGATCTTTAGGAAATCCTTCTTTTCATAAGATTAAAAGGTTTATGAGCCAAAATAGAAAAGAGGAAAGATCAAATTTGATGATAAAGAAAGCAAATGCATTTTCCTCACCGAAAGGGGATGTTAATGTATATGAGAAGTAAAAAAAGTCTTAATTGAACGACAGATGATAATGTTCTTGTTATTCTACCAGAATATTTAACACGCTGAGACTCCAAGGCATATTATGGTGAATATTCAACGGCAGACGAATCTTTATTGTATCTAAGCATGCGGTACATCATGAAAACAATTAGAAGAACGAATGATCGAAACTTGTTCAGCACAGGGCGCTTTTTGTTTTTAATTACATAACAGATAAAACGGGGAAGCTGTGACTCTAAGGTGACTTTAAGAACTTGAAGACATTCAAACTGAGGTGGGTAAAATGAAATTATGCCAATTTAATATTCAAGATCTTGAAACATAAACCTTCTTGGTAGGTTTACATATGAAGGATCCAAAAATAAACACGAAAATGAGTTTTGTATGGAATATTCATTTTTGTCCGTGATTAAAGTAAATTTCTCCTCCTGCTGTTGTTTGAAAAATACATCGAGTTGCCTTTTCAAATTTAACTTTATTGGCGAATTTCAAAGCAAAGGTATTTCTGGTCCCGATTTCACCCTTTCACTCCCATGAGTGACCAAGAGGGAATTTCTCCTTACAATATCAATACAATATCAAACAGACAAGTGATGAGAATAAAGGAAGATATCAATGAGGGCATGATTAGTTGATCCAGTACCAAATTCTCTAAACAAACATAGTGAGAATGATATGGCAGACAGAAAGGAGAATAAATGATGATATCTTAGGCTTGAAAGGGTTAATGACTTGTTGGTTACCGAAGATTACTGCTTGACGTGAAAGATTAAATTTTAATTCCTTAATGTCAATTTTATGAGTTTAAAAAATGAAGTGAAATCGGAGCTGGAGGCAGGAAGCAGTCAAAGTGACTCCTGCTCAATTGATGGCTTTTTCGGCTGCCAGTAAAGTACAAAGGAAAATATTAAATATTCATAATAAGAACAGTTTTATCATGTTGTGAATATTATATTATTTGAATTTGGCTGATGTATAGAGGAACATCCCGAGTTTTGATCAGATTGCGGTTAAATTTGGCTAACTCTGCTTTTAAGCTGATTTACGGTTAGCACGCGTGAAACTCCACCTCGGTTTTCAAGTAAACGCAGAGTTGCCTTTTTTACGCGAGGTGAGTATCCGATTGCTTGGAGGTCGATGATGTTCTGTGCCTCCCAATAAATTAAAGAGACATGTTTGCGTAACAGAGAGAGAACCATACTAAAAGCAGAATTTATTGTCTTACTTTTCCAATCAAATTGCGTTACCTAGGTTCATTAGAGACTAGGATAAAGAGAATGAAAATTATCAATGGGAAGGTTTGCAAGAAAATGCCTTTGGGATCCTTTTTAACGGTCAATTTTATTTAATTTAGCGAGGAATTTAGGTTCTAGATTCAGCATGTAGTCGGGACTTTTGGACTGATTTGCGTTGAAAATCGACTTCCTCTAGCTTGAGAGTCTTGTGCACCGGAAATCAACTTACATGTATTTATATTGCCACTTTTTGTTCATCTGTCTCGATAAGAAAAGGAGAGAGCATAAATTACTCGTCGAAAAATGAAAAATTGGTTTCTCATGCAATAGCATTTTTCAAAGGAAGAAAGGATGATTTATGGCAAAGAATACACCCGGCACGAGTTTGCAGGACTTGCATTGTCTTTTTACGTTTGTGAACATGCCAAGACTAAAAGCTAAATGTTTGTGCTACGGAATCATATTGCAATTGAGTTTGTTTAGCAGAAAAAGCGCTGGGGGGTTGAATCTATACAAGTTTGATTTCACATAAAGGTCAGTCCACCATGATAAATATTGATGAATAATTTTTATTAGTAATTATACTCCCTCATATCAACTGCACAAGTAAACTAAAAACCAGGAGCTAAGTTTATCTTTTAAGTGCATGGAACAGCTCGGTTTTTTTCCCTAAGCAAATATCAATTTACTGCGGAGATACGTGAAGTTTTTCTTTTCACACAGAAGTTTGTTGTAGTGTTTTGGTTTTATAAACTGCATCACAAATGCTTAGACAAAATAATCATAAACTATTAAAAGAATAATTTTGAATGCAATTTTGAAAATATCTGATATCTCTCAATATGCATTTTGACTTTACATAAAATAATATAAGTTTTGTGCTTAGCAGGAGTCACATTTTTGAGATTTTAAAAGTAAAATGCTAATCAGATTTGATAAACCACGAGATCACAAGACTAAAAATATACGAGAAATACATCAAAGTCGATACTCTGGAGGTTGCCAAGTTATTTAGCGTAACCAATGATATAGAAAAGGCTGCAAGACGAGAAAAAATGAATGATTTTTTTTCTGTATCGAGAGGGGAAAATTTTAATTAGATTTCGAGTCGGAATTCATCAAAGGTCTAAAAAGTGTTAGATTGCACTCGTTACTGCAGTTAAAAAATTGGTAAAAAGAATTTCACTCAAGCGACGGAACTCCCGTTCGAATATGTGTTATATCAGTAAGTGTTTAATTTATGTAATCAAGTCCAAGAGCGAAAGTAAAGTTCATTGTCTGGGAGACGATTTCTTAACATAAAAATTGACAAACCAACAAGTTATACATTTCTATCTTTTCTGAATACGAATGCTACTTTGCCATGTTTTTGAACAGACGTGAACAACATCTGTTATGGTCCTATTCAGCCTAGAGAGAAAGGAAAAAAAAGGGTTAGTCCACCGCAATTTGCATCTGCCGCAGACAATTTCATTTTAAAAGCACCTTTCAGCCTTGTTATTAAGTGATTCCTCCTCATCTCTTTCAGTTAATTTCAAAGTCTAATGGCCGAGCTTATAAATTATTCACAATAACTGCGGCTTGTCTAACTAAGCAAGCCTTGTTAGCACACACCTTCTCCAGTAATTTCCATTTGCCGCTTTGAATACATGTTATAAATATTCGATAATGGCAAACAAGCTTGTTCATACAACAAATAGCAACAATTTCAGACAACAGTCCCGCCCTACTCTAGAGTGGTTTGAATCGACAGGCGGCAACTACCCGTGCGCTAAAATTCTGATAATCTCGTCTTCTATTTCGCACTATGGACGTTTTAAATCGAGGCATTTAATTGCATGCAGTACAGTCAGCAAATTTGGCAGCATCCGTTGTGGTTCAGGTGGGCTCATTTTCATGAAAAATGATCAATAAACGTTAGCCAACCTATGAGAACGAAGTCACTCATCAAGTGAGGCATCGTTTTTGTACTAAATGAAACAATCGCTATCCAAAATTTCGACATATATTGATTGATATCTATATATCGGGCAGAATTTTTTCCTCAGAACTCAATTTTTCTGGCAGAGGCTTTGACAATAAGCGTCCAATTTTTTTATATTTCAGCTGTGGTGGTGAGAATGCGTTTTAATCGATCAATTTGTTGCGACGTTGTGGTGTAAGCTGAAAAAGGAATTCACTTCACTCATGGCAAGAAAATGTTATAAATAGAGGGTTATCATATTGTCACTTACTTTGAAAGAAGAAGAAGAAGAAGGAAGTCAAACGTCCCGAACAATCAGCAATGAAAGGACCGCTGTTTTTTTGCATCATTTTGTGCTTGTACTGGAGCCTATTTCCTGTGTCAACAGGTACACTAGTTCTCTTTATATATAATGTCTATTAACATACATTGTCGAACAAGACAACTCTCTATCTACCCCCAACTAGTGCTTCGGAGACGTCTGAACTTCATACATGACCTGATCATGAAAGCGCTTGATTGTATCTTGAAACCACATGACGCAATTTCGAGTTGAATGTTTTTTTCAAGCGCAATTCATTTAAAAATTTGAATCACTCTGCATTTGTTTGAACAACGATTTTCGACGTAAAAGGCTCTTTATTTGTCTCGTTGGAACTCCTTTTTGTGAGTATTCCCCCATTAACAAGAACTGATGCATATTTTTTTCGGAATTTAAAATTTTAAGTTGTTCGATCGAGCGTCAATTGCCAATATATATAGATGTCAACTAAAAACTTGCTTAAAATTCTTATTCCCAATCGACAAAACGACACTTTTAACACTTTCTTTAAGTAAACGTGTTCATATTGATAGAAGGAAGAGTTGTTTGACTTTGGATGTGTGTGCAGTACGTTCAACGATCTAATTTAAGCCTTTTTATGGGCTCCATTCATCTGTTATTATAATTGCGAATGCCGTGTGGCAAGGCGTTTAATTTGTAAAAAATCAGCATAAAGTGAAATGGGTGATATTCTCAGCTTCTTTTAGGGGACTAATTACTATTTTTCAGTCTAAAAAAAAACGGAATGTGTTCATTTTTCTAAAAATCATTTTTCTAAATTGGTTCCCAAACCTTGTTCGATTAAATCCTTCAAAATACGCTTCTCTAAACATTTCTTGATTACCATCCTGACAGATTAACAGTCATAATTATATTCATATGAAATGCTCACTGTTATTAATTATTCATGTAATGTGTATTCTGACAGGCTCCAAGGAAAGTTCTCAACAACGCCTGCTGGCACATCTGTTCGCAAAGTATGATGGGGACGGCCGTCCAAGCTCCGACAGGTCACGCGCTGTTCTCGTGTCGTTTGGCGCGAAACTTGTCAGGATTATCCAGTTGGTAAGCACAAATCTTCGACTAAGACTTTTGATAGAAACAATATTGTTTTAATTTCAAGTAAGTGGCGTAAATCAAAAACGAGGTGATCATAATTAACTTCAAATCAGAATAAAAATAGTTTTCATTTGACTTCATAAAGGAGAAGTCAAAGTGCGAATGAGCTAGAAAAAACGTCAGCCACCCAGTCCTAATTGGTTTACATTTTTTCAGGATCTGATTGGTTGAGAGGACGGCGTGAGTTTTCTAGAGCAATTAGAAAGTGCGACAAAGTAATCTCAGACAAGCTTTAAAGTCTCAACTGAAAAAAACAAGAACGACAGCAATGTTTATTCGGTTACTTGGATGGGTGAATGGAGAGTTATTGTAAAGATAGTAATATATATGCCCAACATTGGACCATAAATTGACCAGCTTTTTGTTTCAATTTGTTTCTGCACTATTTTATTATAGAATGAAAGAGGAAATACGATTCGTTCTCAATGGTGGATCTACCAGGTAAAAAATTATTACAATTAGAATTGCAAAATTCACTCATATATTTAGGAAGGTTATACGTGCACAGTTTTATAAAAATCTAATTTTGAAGAGAGATTTTTTACTTATGTTATTATATCCTAATACTTTATATTCTTGGGATTTGAGGTTTTGAATCGTAGTGAGCAGATCTGTTATCAAATCTATTACTGGTTTAAAATTCTACTTCACTCTGTTTATACATTTATTTAATATATATATTTTAATTTGTACCCATGCCCCTCTCACAATTCTTATTCAGCAATGGATGAATTCTGACTTGACTTGGAACGAGGCTGACTATAATGGAACCAAGGTTATTCACGTGAGTCCCAGAAAGGTCTGGGCACCAGACATCATACTGTACAACAGGTGAGAGTATGAACCCCTTCCACCCTAATATCAGTATGCATATTCTCTATACTGCTCTTCATGCAGTTCTTAAGGCGCTGACAAGGAGAAATTGTTTAACAATCAAGAGCGTCTTAAGTTGGTGATCGTTTCTTTTTTTTCTGATGATTTTAATGCGCGATTCCGGGGAGTGGTATTAATATACTATTTACTCTTTAAGGTTTACAAGGCGGCTGATAACTGCCAGTGCTTACAACCAATTTTCGTGACACTCAGTTTACTTAACAATTCAACATTTTTACTTCTCACTGCTGGGCTGGATTGTTCAAAGCTGGGTTAAGATAACCTAGGCTAAGTATGAAATCTGAATTAAGATCTGACAATTTAATTATTGGATGCTCTAAACAGAATAAAGAAAACTATCCTTAAAAGGCTTTTGAACAAAATAATAAAGAAGCCCGAATTTAAAATTTCACCTTGGGTTAGCGCTAATCGGCCTTTGAACAACTGGGCTCAGGATGGAAAGAGGCCATTTTGAGAGTAAAGTGTCTTGCCGGGAAATTTTCTCAGACTTTTTTCAACGCGTAATTAATATCATGTATGAGATAGATACAGCTTGGGTAGGCTAAGCTTACTTCTAACATTTGTGATCTCATTGATAAATCATTACTTTTAAAATGATATAAGGAAGCATTTTCAAGTGTTCACAGATTTATAATTTGCACGTAATTAATAGCAGGCCACAGTTTCTCATCCCACACAATCAACTTTTTAACCTCTCACATTAAAACCCTTTGTTAACAGATAGAAACAGGGAAAAAAAAAAGGGAGCAACATGTAACGTCCCCATGCGATATCAGCACGGCTAGGGGCTCTGCCTCATGCACCACTTTTTTGTCATTATCACATTTTAACATCAGCATGAAATATTTTTGTTAAAATGATTAGAAGGGGAGTTATGTTGATGAGTTAATCTAAGTGTACTTGAAAATCCATACTCGTCAGGGCGTGGCCTGCTATTACTGTATTTATCATAATTAACTTATCACAGTGTGCGGTTCGCTGACAGTGCTGACGATAACGACAAACTTGGTGGAGGAACAGAGAAGTATAAAACCAAGATAGCAATAAACTCCAACGGATCGTGCAAGTGGATGGCGCCAGCAATCTTTCAAAGCACGTGCGAAATCAATACGAAATACTTTCCTTTCGACGACCAGGTTGGTCATTTGAATTATGGTCATAGAATTATTGGCAATTATGGCTCGTTGTACAAATGTGTGCTTAGTTGCCAAGCTTTTGAACGGAAGTGAGGCTGAGGATGACTGCCACCTTCAGTCTCACTCTGACTCACTGTAACATGTAATGGAAACGAGAAACCAGTAAGCTTTATCATAGTTGAGTGATTACTTGTAAAAAACCGGAAAAATATGCTTTGAAAGAACTCCTCTTCAAAAGCTTGACAACTACGCACCCGAGTTTAAGATAAACTGCTACCAAAATGATCAAAAGTAACAATGGACGTTTTAACTAAAAGCTGAGAAATCTCGATTTTGCTACATGGCTGAGGTCACGATTCGTTGTGTAGGTCTGTAAGTCAAAACAGATCTTAAAATCGCCTAATGTCCACTCTGTTTAAGATCTGCACGCTTAAGTTCGGATCCTGGGCTTTTGATGGCAGCGAGCTGGATGTTGCTGTTGACGAGTCTGAGACTGGTGCCAAGGGAGACATCTATCGGAACAATACCGAGTGGGACTTGGTAAAAGTGACAGCGGTTAGAATCGAGGTAAGTGAAGAACAAGGGCGGTTAGAATCGATGGAATTTTTTATTTGCCAATCCTCTCAGATTAAACGACCCTCACCAGAAATTACAAAGATCTGGATGGATCGCATGGAAAGTTATGAAAATAACACAACGCTAAACGCACTGCAACTGTACTTTGCTGTTGTTGTTTTTTGTAACAGGACATATACAGCTGCTGTGTTCACCCATACCCAAGCATCATACTTTCGCTTCATCTAAGCAGGCGGTATTACTTCTACATGGTGAATCTTGTGGTACCGTGTTCTCTTATAGCCCTCATGGTCCTTCTTTCCTTCATTTTGCCGCCGGAGTCTGGGGAGAGAATAGGACTGGGTATTACAGTACTTATGGCTATGGCTATCTTCCAGGAACTGACGTCAGCTAAGCTGCCAGCGGATTCCGAATACATTCCGTTGCTAGGTAATGTATTATCGCTACTTTAAAAGACCAAGAGGGAACAGCTGATAGAAGGCGTCTGATTTTTGGTATTAGTATGTACGATACAGACACCAAATAAAAATACTTTATTTCGGTCAATATGCCTAAATATACCAATACCTAATATACCTAGTCCTGACGTGCAGTTTTGTCTCTTTGACCGCTCGGAGGTGAGTAGTACTTGCTAATTACCTCCAAACCAGCCAGTCGGCACGCGCCAAAAGCACTTTTCACCCGTATAGTATAGTACATACTAGTGATGATGATGATGACACCAGGTTCCTCGGATCTGAGGAACAGTGGGAAGGTCGTCCTTGTTGACACGCCCACTTAATGCTTGGTACATAATACTTTGAACAATACCAACAAACACATCTTTAATACCGTAAATTTTTCTGTTTACTTTTCAGCTAAGTACTACTCCAGTGCTATTTTTGAGATTGGTTTGGCTCTGTTTGCCACTTGTGTCATTTTGAACTTTTTCTACCAACGCTGCGAAATGCCTGGTTGGCTCAAACAGCTCATGTTCAGTTTTCTGGGTCCATTGGTGAGAATAAAGTATACACCTCAACCGTCAAACAAAACTCGTAAGAAAAACCAAAAAGGTTTGATCGAAGAAAACTTTGAGTTAGCTTCGCAGTCCGAAGGCTCTTACTCGGGGCCCATTGAGTTAAGAAAAATGAATGTGTTAAACGATAGTGCATGTGAAGGAAATGGGCGCTGTGGTGAAGCAAAGCCTTCGTCGCCTGTTCATCTCATACGTTCTAGAACACGCAGCAGTATTCGTGAGACTCCTATTCTGAATGATCAAGTGACAGAAAAACAACAAGGAAAGTATGTGTTCGAGGCGGCTGATGGGTCCCGCGCGGATGAAATAAACAATATTACTGACTGGCAAATGGCCGCAAAAATTTTGGATCGTGTTGTGCTCGTCCTTGGGATTTTAATCAGCGTTGCAACTTTCCTCGCAATTTTCATGCAAGCACCAAGAGTACAAGAGATGTTTTCCTGAAATTCAAAAGTGATCATCCGCCCTTCTTTCAAATTATATATCCTTTAAGGTCGGGAAGCTTGATGATCACACAGTGATTCTCCTAGTCCCTTTGACGCGCCCTTCTGTTCACCTTTATTCATTTTTACAGAAGTGATCTGTTTTACTCGTCGTAAGATAGGTATAAGAAACGCCCTGCAGTCACTGACAGCAAATTACTCTTTTAAGGGGGGACTAGAAACCAGCGTAATTGTGATATAGTTACAAATAAACAAAAATATGATTTTGGGTAAGAAATAACAGAAAACAGTCAATAAAGATAAACGTTGTTCAGATCATTGATATTCGACAATTTGTTAAACATGATGATAATAACAAACTTTGCAGCCCCTTATGAAGCAAGTCAATATACACATGAATTGTAAAATCGTTTGAAGTTAAATTATGACCTATTTCTTAAAAAAAATATATGATTTATTCCTGTTGCTCTTAATCAGCTACTTCATCTCGGAGCCCTTTTTTCGAAACAGATTTAAGATACTTTCATATTTTTCTGATTGTTGTATTATTTACGCGTAGTCTTTTGAACATTAATAAAAAAGAAACCATTGAAAACAACTGCAATGATAATTACAAAGATATCAAATTAATCTCATCGGTATGAACCAGATTTTTACTTATCATTAACATATGCAAAACCATACGCAAAAATAACAATGAAATGTAGACATCCTGATATGTTTATCTTCTGAGCCGTTTGGTGGAGAAAAAAAAAAGATTTATTTTCCATATGTCAATACATTTATATGTGTTGTTTGAAATAGAGTGTGATACTGGCGATATTGATTGCAGAGCATATCCTGTCTACATCATTTTCATTCACTCATCTACAGTTAATACCGGACAGAAAGCTGTTGTGACTATGACAGTCTGTTGAAGAGAGCCGTTTCCGAATCAATTGACTACTTAAAAAACTGAGCACTTTACACCCTTAAATTAGTGTGCATATTTTCCGTACCGTTGCCTACATATTTCCTGAGGTCTAGAAAAGGAGAATTTGTTTAACAATCAGGACCTTCTTTGGTTGGTGATCATTTCCTTTATTCTCATGACCTTAACGTCTGACCCAGAGGTGATTTTATAGGGAGAAATTATATGTTGGTCACTCTTAGGCGTTAAGGAGTTGAAGTAATATATTTACCTTTTCATAGGAAATAAATGCACTTTATTAACGCGATTATAAAAAATTGCCTTTATTAAATGCATCTCAATTTACGACGATAATTCAAATCACACTACATTGCATCATTGTTGTTTTGCAGTAGCTTTATTTCAATAACAAAATCTCATCTGCTCATGGCTCCATTATCAATGCCTCAGAGTTATTATCTAACAGTTCTTCCACAAGAAATGTCTTTCAATACGTTTGTTGAGAAGTTTGTATTGAAGAAAATTCGCGTAAAAATATAAAGCTAAGCACACATTGTTTTCGAACAGTTCGCGTCAATTTGATGTATGCAAACCTAACCTATAGAGAATTCGCTTTAATTTTCTGTAACGTAAATTTTCTTGGCGTTGTCAACATGCATCGTTAAATTCCTAGCAGAAGGTAAGTCATTTTGTACAGTTCAGAATGCCTGTGGCAAAGAAACTCTCTCTCCGTATTGGCTAGTAACCAATGATGGAGGTCAAATATAAGAAATCAAGATGGAAATTTTTTGTTTTTGATAGGTTAGTTGAGGACAAATACGGTAGGTTTTAAAATTAATGAAATTAGAGCTTTCCCCTCGACTTGATTTGAAACAAACGTGTGAATGATTGGTTTAGCTCCATAAATTTACCTGGAAGTCTCGTCCCCATACAAACCAATTTATTTCAATTTTTTTAAAACTTGTTTAGTCTGGTTATTAATAAGAGTGACGTGGCGAAGGAAATAGATGATCATCATAAATCTTTGCAACACAACAGTACTGAGTGTTTGTTCAAATAGCACCTAAAGGACGAATGAAAGCCACAGGCGCAGGAAATATCTCGGGCTTCATTCAGTGATTTGCTTAAGCAAATCAAGTTTTAAGTTTCTTATCTTTTAGTCAGGAACGGCCTTCAACGTGCGAAGATCCATTCGGTTAATCTCGGTCGTCTTGTTGACGAGGTAAGTCTCCTTTTTGTATAATTATCACTGGCCGGATGCTTTTTTTTTTTATCTAAGATATCGGAAAATTTTTATATTTTACAACGGGAAAGTGATTCTCACAAGATTGAAGGTTCTTTAGTAAATCTAGAGAAAGTGTAGCTAGCAAATTCAGGTCATCTTTGTTTCACACAATGGGGTTTGAAACTCTAATCTGTCTCTTTGTCGATTCAATTACAACACTTTTTACTTACAGGCTAATAGATCACTTGTCATGTTGTTTGCAATTTTTTTTAATATTGAGCACGTTTGATGTACGCTCATAGCACAAGAATCGAAGACGCGACATACAAAATGGTTTAAAAGCAAACTGAACTGAAATGAGAAGTTTTTTCTAGTTTATATGTAAACACCACACACACCACCATATTTACACCCTTGAAACAGCTTTCAGCCTCACCAGAATTTAAAAAAATCAATAAGTTAAAACTTTATCCACCGAAAATCATATTTTTCGAGTTCTCGAAGTTTTTTTGGCTTGTAAGAAATTCCCAGTAGTCTTGTTCGATAGAATTTGTAAAGATTTATCTTAGTCATTTAGACATTTATCTAAAATTTAGTTTGCAAACACTTTTTGAAAGAAATTGTTAGTGTTGAAGTGAAAAGCCCTCAAGGTTCGATCAACTTGAGGCAAAGAATACCTTTGCCGAAACGGTGATATTTTTCTGAGAGACAAAAGACAAATTTTCAGGATGGGGCAAAGCTAATAGAGTGATCCCGCTTTGTAGAAAATCTCCCATACATAAACAAAAAAAGAATCGCCTACTGCCTGAGGCGAACAGACAATAGATAATTACAAAACCACAATTGGATGATGCTTTCTGAGGCGTCTTAAATTTGTCTCAAATATTTCCTGTAGAATCTGGCGATAGGAAAAATCTGCAGTATCAGTCAGATGTTTGGAGAACCCCTGCCTTTCATGTTTTTTTATCCGTGGCACTAGATCTTAATATTGTTAGCGGAAATTTCTGTTACTCGAATTTAAAGCTGTATTCATTTGTACTCATTCTTCATCTTTCGAATCAAATCATTGTACAGTAGGCACATCAAAAAAATATCCATTTGTTCGGCTTGTCGCCCATACAATAAATGTGAGGTTTCAAGCGGTAGGTATCGAAAATATTCAAACGGAAATATACCGAGTGTTAGCCTGAACAGGCAAAATTAACCTTTTCGAACCAAAAAGAGGAATTTTCGAGTACCGATTTCCAAGAGGTGAGATAAATTATACTTTTATGAGACCGTACTTCATTTATGAGTCACTTTCAGTGATATTTCGAAGTGTAAAATTTTCATACCAGTTCGTTAATACCATGCATTCATTAACACTTCATTTACGACACATATTGTACAAAATAAGACCATAAGACAAGAGTTGAGTCTAAAAGAGAACAAAACATTGACTTATCAAAGATTGGAACAAGTCTTATAAATATTCAAAAAGAGGAAAATTCTCCAAGTAATAAATTCATCAATTTTTGTTAGAACAAATGCGACGAAACACGTCTATCACGTCTATAGGTAATCAGTAATGCATTTGTCCTTCGCTTGTAGTTACAGCAGCGCCGATCTGTCTTTTATCTGATCTCTTTTGAAAAGGAAACAAGCGGTATCGATAAGTCGAAGGAAATTTGTCCACAGAAAAGGTAAGGGTTTAAATGTCTGTGATTCGGATGAAATAAATTAATTAAGATGAGATTCGGATTAAAGTAAAATCGAACTATCCTAGGGAGAACTTTGGGCTTGATATATAGATCAACTCTGGGGAGATTCCAGTTCAAAGCTAACTTTTTACAATGTCTCTCGGCCTACGGGAATAGATAGTTCTTAGGATTTATTTCTCATTCAAACAGCTTGTGTTATGCAACTATTTAGTTGTTATATCTGCACTGTTAACATATATATCCTGACGCACCAGTCACAAATAACTCAAATACACTCGAAATGAGCGCAATTTTCCTCTGATTACAGTGAGGTGAAAACAAAAGTTGGAAGATACCGGTTTGAATTAAATTTGTTTCTTGGTTTTCACAGCATGAGATTTTAAACAAAAAGCAGAAAGGAATTGTGAGGAAAATTTGATTGCGGTGGGCACAGGAGGAATTCGTTAATAAGTAGTTCGTGATCGGCGTGAAACCTTCAAAATGTTAGACTACTTACTGGGAACAGTTAGATTCAACTTGATCAGAAATCAATTATTCTTTTAAGCTCAAATTTAACAATCAAGTAATAATCTCCTCATCTGGGCTTTTCAATTCAACACGTTTAATTTTTAAAATGAGGTTTTGAAAATAGATTTGCATACCTAACGACCGTCAAATTTAAAAGAAGACTTTTTCAAGAAAGCGGTGTGTAAGGGAAACAATTATTACATCATAAAAGTATTTAATACGCACTGTAATGCAACTTAAAAAAGGCTTAATTCATGACTGACCAAAAGAATTAAGAATAGCTAAGACCTCTTCCAATAAATATTACTAATTAAACGTTGAGTTTGGATCCTCCAATATTATAGTGCTGTTATTTTTCTGTTCGCTACAGGACACCACGGTGACTCGCTGGTTATTTATGGTTTTCACAACAATTTCTGTACACCTACGTATCACGGCGCGGCATGTGGTTTGGCCATTATAACGAAAAATAAAAGTGGCTATAGCTGCTTCACGTTTCCTTCGTTAAATTTTCATTTTTTCGTGCATTCATCTTTTCATTTATTCAATCATTTGTTTCATGCATTCGTTCGTTTATTGGCGCCAGTTCGTTAGGACTTAAAATCACTGTTTCTTGTTGAGAGTCCTTATATTCCGTGAGTTGCTATGGATGTTATGCAAATCATTTAAAAGGGTTCAGCTGTAGAATTATCAAATACATGTACATGACCTCCCCAACATCCAAAGAATCAGCAATAAAGGTACGGTGTGTTTTACGTGACGCACGAAACAGAAAATATTACATTTATCGTGAGAATTTATCGTCAAGGTGGTTTCAAACTTAAGAGGCCGTGAGTGCCATCGTTGAGAGATTCATGCCGTTGGTGTACTTAGCTAAGTGGCGAGCGAAAAATCTTCCAGTGGGGGTACAGCTTTCCTACTGTATGGACGTTTTACTAGAAATTTTAAATATTTCCAAGGAAACATGATATGGCATTCCTCGCTTATTAATAATTGAATTATCCAATCACGTAAAGGAGTAGAGGCACCATTGTGCCGCAAATGTCCACTACTGCATCGCAGCTGTGTTTGCTATCGGGTCATAGTACTAATTCACAGTGAAAAGCAGAAACAAATTGGGTTCGTAGGCTAGAGTTTTACATCTGGACTCGTTTTCGATCCCTAACTGATCGCGGTAGTTGTTTCACGGGTGAGTTGATCCAAGTTTTCTTTTTTAATGTATATAAAATGGGCCTTTAACTGATTCTTCCGCAGCTCAGGTAATTCGATGCTTCCTATACTTAGCTGGATAGACTTTTAAAATATAATGGCTTTTTAGAATCTGTTTCCGATACGAATGCAAAAACACTGGCTTGATTTTACAGCATAATTTTGTAAAGTATACAATGAATTATTTTCAGTCTAAACTAATTTCGAAAGCTACCTTCGGTAACCAAATCGGCGTCAGTCGAGGTTATGTATTAAAGGTTCGGTACGATTAATTGCACGAAAACAATACGTCACCAGAGATTATTCTTTTTGTGCAAGTAAATATTATATCATGTTATTTGTGTTTGTGGTTTTTGGTTATTGTTCGGCGTTTCAAAGCAAGATAGCACCGTTCATTCAGTCGGTTTATCTTAAAGCTTCATTCTTTTTTTCTCCTTCAATAATTTGAATTTAAGTGATTTCCGATAATACAAGTTTTATGAAAATAACTTTGATTCGCCAACAAGAGCACTGAATGAAAAGATGGCTATGAGCCATTTTTTCTTTTATTCGTTCGACGACGCACAAAGAAAATTGTTGGACGTGGAATCAGCTTAGGGTAGTTGATGATATTTTCATCAAGCTATGCCCTTTGCCACAGGAATCAGAAAAGGGTTCTTTTGGTGATTTCCTTT